CTATGTCGTATCTGATGCCCTCGAAGCGTGAATGATGAAAAAAAAAGTAGAGATAAAAATAAAGGATTTACATGGAAGGGCACACGTGTCTCTAGTGATAATGTCGGTCTTCTTTTGTAGGAACAAATATTTGTTATGGTGGACCATCGATCCAATCCAGTTGCTGACTGAAAAACATCACTAGCCTGGAGACTATTCTTCCTTTTTGTCTATTTATAGTAAAAAGGGGAAAAAATAAACTAAATAAAGTTTAACTTCTATATTGAGGATGAAAATACTTATATTTTTTATTAGATTCGTTAAAAAAAATCATTGCGCTGTACTAGTTATTATTATTATTTTATTTTTTATTATTATTTTATATATAAACGAATCGAACAACTATGAAGACAAAAACATTATGATAATGGCAAACAATAAGTGAACTGAAAAAGTAAAGTTATAGCTTTTATTTCCACTTGATTCATTACAATGTTTATTGTTATTATGTATCTGATTTTTTTTATAAATGTACGGCAATAAATTAGACACGTTGAGTCTTATTTTTTTATCGTATGATGTAATTTAATAATGATAATTTATTGTTCATGCTTTAATGAGTTTATAATGTTTAACTGTATTATTTTTATTTTTTTTCAGAATACGGGGACAGTTCTGAAGCAATGGAAGAGATAATAAGGCTGGATTGATACTGAAAGAACGTAGATACAAGAGTTTTTCGAATTTGTGGAAAAAAAGTGATCAGCCGCGATGGAGTCTTGTCCGCATCACGGTGATAATTCTCAGCTGGACAGATAGAACCTGGAAATAGAAATCGATCTGACGAGAAACGATAAAGGATAAGAGGAGTTGTAGTTACGGCTGAAGGAAGGTAGCTGTTAGCTATAGCTGGTGGTTGTGCTGGGGAGCACGAAGAGTAAGAGGAAGGTGACGCTGAGAAGAAATAAGTGAACGAGACGAAAGAACATTGAGATAAGAACGGAAAGATGGGCAAGTGTTGCAGCAAGAGGCAAGAGCCTCAGCCAATTGGTTAGTGATTTAATCTTACCTTTTTTTTTTTTTTTTTTTTTTTTTTTTTTTTTTTAACAACAAGTATTTATATTTCAATTACATTTGTAACATCTTTGAGATGTTATGTGTAATTGGAATTTGAATTGCAATGAAAAATGAAATTTAAACTAATGATGACTGTTGAATTTTTTATTTTTAGTGTACAAAAAAACCGAAGCTGCTTTAACTTCAAAACACAGCAATGGAGGTTCTTTGGATAGATATACAGCAGATCCTAATCAAAGAGGAGTGCAAGCTCGCGCAGATATTATCCGACCTAGGCCGACACCTTGTAAGATACAGATTCCACATCAACCTCGTAAAACAAGCTCGCCTGTCGTATTACCTGCATGTGTGTATTTTAAGTTTTTTTTTTTTTAACGTTTATTAATTTTATTTTCGTTACTAATTCATTTATATATTATTTGGTAATAACGACAACACTTGCTAACTAATTTATTTGACTTTTTTATATTTTTTTTTAATAGCAAACTTATAAAGCTATTATGTTGTTTAATTTATTGATTCATGATAGTAGATTTTTTTACATTATCGTCTGCCGACGTACTAGAATGAATATTTTCATTTTAATTTGAGTGTTTTTTTTTTTTTAATTATTTTGTGAGATATTTAATTATGGCCCTTTTAATATTTCTCGAGTGGTTTATCAACTTGAAGTGTAATTTGTGTCATTAATTTGATATTAATACAACTTCATAGTTGTGAGAAAAAATGTGATTTATGTGTGTATATGTAAAAATAGATTTTTTTAAGTATAGGAGATTAAAATTTGACCTTTAAGATATGAATTTTTTATTTAAATTTGAGTAGAAAAATCGACAATTTTATTAAAATTGTTAAAAGTAGAAAAAAAATAATTTATAAGCAATAAATAAATTATTTTAGATTGATAAAAAATTAAAAAAATACTTCTATTAAAAATTTATATTCTTGACTCAAGGATGTATATTTTATAAAATTTCCGAGAATGTACTGTTTTCTCTGAAGAATTTTTTCTTGTCTATAGAATCAGTTGAATTGATTAAAATAATTTTTAATTTTTATTTTATTATTTAATAAAAATATTAAATTCTTTATTTTAATAAATTTTTCAGTCGAGAAATTCTTGTCTGGACATAATTTTTTTTTCAATTAAAAAAGTTTCCAGTCAATGAGATATTCAAGTGAATGCAATCATTTTTAAATACTTTTTATTTATATCACTTTTATATTTTATTTATCACCACAGTTTTTGATATTTCTTTATTACCTCAAACTTTTTGCTACAAAAACAATCAATTAAGTCAGATAAATTTTTAAAAGTAAAAATAATAAAAGGCTAAAAAGTGGAACTGTTTGTTACTTGTAACACAACTTTTTGAACTTAATTGTCAAGAGTAGAGTAAAAAACTGATGTTTTTTGTTTTATTTTTTCGAGTAGCTCATTCACAGAGAACGAATAAAATAGTGGTAGCACTTTATAACTACACTGCAAGAGAGAGCACAGACGTGAGTTTTGTGAAAGGCGATCAGATGGAAGTTCTAGACGACTCTGAACCCGACTGGTGGCGGGTATTACATCTGAGAACCCTTCAAGAAGGACTTATACCTTGGAACTTTGTAGCAGTTGAACGTTCAGTCGAGAGTGAAGAGTAAGTTCATACCTTTTTTCATCTGCTCTTGTGGTTTTTATATTTTTTTAAAAGTGTACTAAGTATTGTTGCTATTGCAGCTGGTTCTTCGAGAATGTGTCGAGAAAAGAAGCTGGAAAATTACTCCTGGTGGATGAAAATCCAAGAGGAACATTTTTAGTTAGACCAAGCGAACATAATCCGCGCGGATACAGTCTTAGTGTTAAAGATTGGGAAGAAGGACGGGGTCATCATGTTAAACATTACAAGATTAAACCTCTGGACAATGGTGGCTTCTTTATTGCTACTAATCAAACCTTCCCAACACTACCAGCTCTTGTAATGGCCTACAGCAGTTAGTATTTTATTTTTATTTTATTAAATTATCTCTCTAAAGTACTTGAAATTTATTTTTTACAATACATTTGATAGTTTACTCTATCAATAATAATCATTTAATTTTTTAATCTTTTTCTATCCCGTATTAGTCACACCGGTAATCTTCTTCGATCAAAAAATAAGCTGATAATCCCTATCGGGTCAACTGTAACTTTCTACCCTTATTTTTACACTAACTTAATTGATAAAATGAGATTTATAAAACATTTGTATTCTATCTTATTACGTATGTAGAATAAAGTTGCACTTGTAAATAAGCAAAAAAAAAAAATAAAATAAAATAAGCACAAGTGCAACAACAATAATGCGAGTATTACAGAGAATCAGCATAAAAGCTATTACTTTTTCTTTATCGAAATAACACCTTTTGTAATAGCAGTGATAATAATAATAAATGAATAAAATTACAGAAAATGCCTTGGGCCTATGTCATGTCCTGTCAAAACCATGTCCAAAACCACAGCCCGACATGTGGGACCTTGGACCAGAGTTACGTGACAAATGGGAGATAAATCGGAGCGAGATACAGTTGATACGTAAACTCGGACATGGTAATTTCGGTGAAGTCTATTATGGCAAGTGGCGTAACAAGATTGAAGTAGCTGTAAAAACTCTCAGACCCGGTACAATGTCAACGGAAGCATTCCTCCAAGAAGCAGCAATAATGAAACAATTTAGGCACAGACATTTAGTCGCGCTGTATGCCGTATGCTCCAAAGAAGAACCTATTTATATTGTTCAAGAGTACATGTGTAATGGAAGTCTTTTAGACTTTTTGAGAACTGGTGACGGTAAATATATGCAATTCGAGGATCTTATTTATATAGCAGCTCAAGTGGCTTCGGGTATGGAACATTTAGAGAGCAAACAGCTTATTCATCGTGATCTTGCTGCACGTAATGTGCTTATTGGCGAAAAGAACAAGGCTAAAATATGCGATTTTGGCCTCGCCAGGATTATTGAAGATGACGAGTATTGCCCCAAGCAAGGTAGCAGGTTTCCCGTCAAGTGGACTGCGCCAGAAGCTATTGTTTACGGCAGATTCAGCATTAAAAGTGATGTTTGGTCTTATGGAATATTACTTATGGAACTTTTTACATATGGACAAGTTCCTTATCCAGGTAAACAACCACTTTTTTTTTTTTTTTTATTTTAATCTTGTTATTTAGAGAGTAAAATACATTATAAAAAACTATGGAAATTTTTTACAAGTGGGGTAAACCTGATTTTGGGGCCATAACTAGGTGAAAAATTAACATTTTCAAATTTTTTTTTTTTGATTCTGCTTGTTTTTACGGCGCATTTATGATAAAAAATACCGTGAAAGAAAAAAATAAAAATTTCAATAGCTTTTTTGCCTTCAAAAGTTGGGAAAAATTTTGGCTCTCATGTTTTTGGATAAAATATCTATTTTATCTTTTTTTTTTTTTTTTAAAGTACATAAAAAAACGAACTATTTATTTATTTATTTATTTGTAAAGAAACGCCCTTGGCAATTTACAACAATATCTGTAAAGAGAAGATAGGTTTAAAAAATTAAAAAAAAATTTTTTTTTAAATATTTGAAAAAAAGAGAAAAACAAATCAAGAAAAAAAAAAGTTGAGTATCACAATTTTCTAAAAAATTTATAAATTTTTTTTGAAAATTTGTTAAAGTTGTGATAATCAACTTTTTTTTTTCAATTGTTAATTTTTTTATGTATTTAAAAAAAAAAAATATATCAATAAAATCAAATAAAAATTTCATTCAAAAAAATTAAAATTAAAATGACCCCACTTGTAAATATTTACCAAAACTATTATTTTTAATATTTAAAATTTTGAATAACTAATCTAAATTAAATGAAATAACTTTTAAGAATTTAATTTATAAGAAAGTATATAACCATATAAAATATGTGTTGATGAATTTATGTAGGTATGCATGGTCGTGAAGTTATTGAACAAGTGGATAAAGGCTACAGAATGCCTAAGCCAGCGAATCAGCCATTACCGGACAGCATTTACCGTCTTATGCTGCAATGTTGGGACGCATGTCCAGAGAAACGACCTACCTTTGAATTCCTCAATCATTACTTTGAATCATTTAATGTGACAAGTGAAATACCATACCTTGAACCGCCAACAGACTGATACACGGCCCATCATCATTTGGAGGGCCACGTTATGCAACATGGCCACGTTATGCCGCCGCATGGTCATTACCATCCGGCTCATTTGAATTGTGCCATGGAATTTTACGGGATTTATTGTTAGAAATTAAACTCCCCTTATACACTAAATTATTATTTAAACTATTTTTATTATACATTATCTCGATTCAAGGTGCGAAATACCTTTCTTATTTTATCAAAAATATTAAGTGGAAAAAATCATTCCAAACACTGCCAGAATTTTGCCAATGATATATGTATTGAATCACACCGTTTATCATTTTTACTGTAAACAGGCACTTTTTTAACAAATTTAAAAAACAATAATAATTATAATAATTCATCTTTATACCAAACGGTGATCTATTGTGTGCCATAAACTTACTAAGAGTCTTCAGAAATTTAAAAACCCAGAAGAAAATACACAAGTCTTGTTTATTTTATTAAAATTTTTTTTGTAGTTAACAATCGAGTAAAATAAATTGGCATTAGAAATCATAATCGTCTTTGACGATTTTGGATTACTGAAAGAAAATAAAGAATAGAAAAAAGAAAAAAAATGTGAAAAAAACAAATAAAAAAAAAAAAAACAAATAAAAAAAATTTTGTAAGACGATAAAATAATTAAAATTTCAAGACTTGAATTTAAAGAATTTATAATTTTAAATCGACGTTTGTAGAGTAGTGTTTTTTAAAATAACGTCCGAAGAATTTAACTTTTCAAAAAGAAAAACAAAATAAATTAGACTTAATTGCTGAAGTGGCAAAAAAATAACAAGTATGAATATATTATTGAATCTAGAAACATCGATTTCGACATAAATCTAATTATTTTTAAATATAACTTGAATAATTCTTACATTAAATAATTTTGAAAAAAAAAAAAATATCTTTATATACATATATATTGTCGCATTTTCCGCATCGAAAAATAAATTGACTTACCAGCACAAATTAATTTGAAAAAACATAAATGAGAGAACAAAACCATGTCAGGCAATTATTTGTGATAATGCCTGTACTTTTTTTCTATTATTATTATCATTACTATTATTTAATTATTTTCTTGTAAATTATAAGTATATTAAGTTGTATTTAATTATTGCAATTATGACTTTATTTCTTAATCTCTTAATTATCACGAATATTCGCTGTGATCTTTATAAATATTTAAGTTAACATATATATATATTTTTTTTTATTTTTCAAATATAAAATCTCAAGTCAATTTTTGATTTATATAAACTGCACGGTTGCCCACTTTATTGACGAAATAATTTGCAATATAAATTTTTATTTTATTTTCTTCAAGTTTGAGAAAAATTTGCGATAATGATTAAGTCACAAATGTAATATTATTATTATTATTATTATTATTGATATTATGGTTATTATTTGTAAACTATTTCTCAGCGTGATTATTTTAATTTAATCCATCAACTAAATATTGTCATTGAGTTTGTATAGATTTTGTTTAAGTTGTACCTTGATTTCTTTCATTAATTAACGTTATAATTATAATAAAGGTCTCAGTGTATACTCATGTCCGACTGTAAAAAATATATTTATAAATACATGCATATATCTATATATATTTTTTTCATTAGATCCAAATAAATATAATAATATGGGTCGTCGAAAAAAATAAAAAGTAACTACAGGTATGCGTTGAAAGTCGATGAGCGAGTGTTGAAAAATTTCTTGAGTGAATGTTACTTACATTGTATGTCCTTGAGAGGTGGTGATTTTACTGAAGAGTTTGCAATTAATTCAATATATAAACGAATGATGGAGAGATAAAGATAATAAAATTTGGAAAAAAATAAAATTTAGAGAAAAATTAATTTAAGGTAATCGTAAGTCATCGATGTTAATCGTACAAAGTATCTAAAAAAAAAAAAAAACTGAAAAAAAAAAACTCTGTAAATTTTATACTTTAAGATTTAAAGACAGTAATTTTATTTTGAGTATATGTTAATATATATGAATGAAAGAAAAGTTTAACAAACTATGAAGAATATTAAATTAGATAATCCTACGATTATGAGTCATCATGCGTGTAATTTTAATTTATCTAATTATCATAAAAAAAAAAATTATTATTCACGAGATAGGAGATATTAATATAACGAATGGATATTTATTTTATCGCAAGTAAATTAGTTGTTAATATTAATTGTAATAATAATTATTATATTATTGTAATATTAATAGTAATAATATTAATTAATAATGTAATAAATTATGTGTGAAACAATTTTCATCGATTGTTAATAAGTAAAACTTCTTACTAGTAACTCTCGTTTCGTACGTAAGTGAAAATTTTTTTCGTCACGTCAACGAGTAGTATGTAGCTTGTACGTCCAAATAAATTTTTTCTAAACAATTTTATACTGACCAAAATATTAAAAAAAAATAATTGAAACAATAACTTGTTCTGTTTACTATTAAAGTGGAGTAAATTTTTAACTATTTGTTAATTCCATAACTAAAAAAATAAAGTAGAAGCATTTTTTATGATAAAATAAAATATTTTCAGAATATAAACTGGGTAAACTTCAATGATGTGACCATTAAAAAAAAACAATGTTGTTTTGAAAAATAAAAATACAAAGAGACAAATCATTTTAAAATGTAATTTGCGGCTGGTGAAATTATTTTATTCAGGTGCCAAGAGAATTAAATCCGACAAAGATTGAATACGAGCCATTAGCTGCGCTCACTTATTACATTTTCACAATCCTACGGTTTTGACGTATGTACATTGTCAAAATTGTAAATAAAAAAAAAATAACAAAACAACCGTGAAAAATATTGCACAGTACAGGTTTCCTTAACAATGTCTGTATTTATTTATTTGTACTTATTTATTGACTCAACTGATTAATGCATAGGAAAAATATTTAAAAAAATAAAGTCGTGGTACTCAATATGAAAAAAATTTTGATAATTCTGTGATATAGAAAACAGACCTCAAGTTTTTATACCAAGTTTTCAAATCGCGGAGCACCACGGCTATTTTTTGGAATCGCATCGACAATTGACGTTTTATAATATATTATACTATCCAATAATTCTCATCACATTAATTAATAATGTATACTAATAATAATATAATAAAAAATTGAATTTAAAATTGTATATCGACTGTAACCATGTTAAAACTTATATTACTTTCAATTCGAAACTTTAATTGCACATAGTCGATGAATTTAAAAAAATTAAATCGTAAAAAGCAGGTCACTTTTATCAATTAAATTACAATTTTTGTCTTTATTGAAAATTAACAAATATTATTTGTTAAGTAATAACTTTTAATAATTTATTCTTGAAATGTAATTTTAAAAAATGAATTCAATCTTAGATAAAATTTCTACTAGAATGTATAAAAAAATCTTCCATCGATTAATTTTTTTATTGAATATAAATTAGTAAAGAATATAAAATCCACTTTGAATTAATTTTATTAGCTTTCATAAATTTTCAACAATTTGCAATTAAAGTTCCAATAAGTTCATTTAAAAAAATTCTACTCAACTCTATCATCAGAAAGAATAATAATAATAATAATAATTATTATTATTATTATTATAATAAATAAAAATACAAACAAGTACAGAAACATTAAAGAATTAATGAATAAAGCAAACAGATGATTATTTTTATCACATATGGCTTTTATCGAGTCTCTATACCACGTGGTACAATTTCAATTACATTTAAAGATAAATTAATAATAATAATTGAATTAAAAATCTGTATTGTTATTAACATGATCGTTTATGTACCAAAGCTTACAATCATTAAATAATTTAGTGATTACTTTGTATTATTATATTAATATTTATCGTATGCCTATCCATACTGATAATGATAATATATATTATGTATCATATTACTAAGTCTGTAAAAGAATCAATCTTATCGATTGAAAATTAATTAAGGTTCAAAGAGTTTTTTTCAGTAAATAATTACAATGAAATTGAAACGTTTTTTATTTATTTTTTTCTTTCCTTTTTTCATCTTAATACAAAAATCTTTCCACGTGAGGAAAAAAAAAACGAAAAAAAGATAATCACATCAATGATTAAAAATGTTTATTGAGTACCTCAGTAATACTCAAAGCATGAGATTTAATCAAGACAAAAACCTATATGCAAACATTAATAATAATAACATATACATTACTAAATAATACGATCAATAAAATTTAATTTGTTCGCATTCATAATTTTCTTTCATACTCAATTAAATTAATTATAATATAAGACAATTAATATTATTTGTAAATAAAGTTAACAAAAAATTAACTTTATAAATTAATTTTAGAATGAGAGAAAAATAATTTAAATCACCATATAAAAAAATTAATCATTAACCGAGAATTAATTTTATTCCTGATCTTAAAAAAAAATATTTAATATTAATAATAAAAATAATAATTATCAATAGTTAATAATAATGATAATGCATAAAATTGATTAATTATGCATTAGATATACATCATTTCAGCCATTCTGGACATCTTCTTTGGAATATGAACAAATTCTTCAAAGTAACTCGCAAGCTCATCAATAGTTACGTCGCACGATGAAGGTGGTGACATTCGTGCCTGTATAGAGCAAGTATTTGCGCTCGTTGATTGACCAGCATTATTTGATGAATAAATTCCTTCATTATTACTATTATTACCAGGTATATTAACAGCAGAAGCAGCTGCGACAGCGGCAGCGGCAGCAGCAGCAGCAGCAGCAGCAGCAGCAGCGACAGAATTATTGGTTTCTTCGCCGCCACCAGGTCCAGGTCCAGGTCGTTTTAAACTAGGCATGGTGTTACTTCTTGCTCTTTTAAAACTACTAGTATGGTAAGAACTTTCAGGTAAACTGGTATCATCCTTAGCCAATCGCGAATCAGTATTAATATTCAGAGCCTTGAAATCTTTCGTCACCGAACCATGTCCAAATGTTCTAGGATTTCTAATACTTGAAATACTTAGTTTACAGGCCTCTTGTAATAATGTACTAGCCAAGGTATCACTTAAACACGTAGACGAATTATTATTATTTAATTTTAATACGGCTTCTTTTATAATTGAATTTTTTTTCTGTCCATCCAGTAATTTATCATTTTTAGATGGTTTGAAATTCGTTGTACATTTAACACCACGTGGGCTTACAAAGTTTGATGTTGGACGATTTGGCATCGATCTTCTACGAAATAAATAACTAGTGTCACCAGTTGTACCACGGCCACTTGAACGAAATGGATTTGCTGTTGTTAATTTTTCGTTGCTACCACCAATCCTGTAACAAAAGTTTATATAAATTAATTTAAGTATGCTTTTAAGTTTATTGATGAAAAATAGCCATTTGTAAACTCCAACGTTTATAAACTATAAATTTGAAAATTAGTTGATAATGTCATTTGTAAAATCAGTCGCTAATAAAAAATGATATTAATGTAATTAGCCAAATGGAAATTTCACCAAATATATATTCAGTCATTTATAAAATAGCGAAAAATAAAAATCTGTAGCTAATTAAATTTAGTCAATTCTTACTGCAGAAACTTGTAAAAATAGCCGTTTTTAAACTTCTTATAACTTTTGAATGAGTCGGTCGAATCTGCTCTAATTTTTAAAAAAATCTTAATTTATGAAAGTCCTTTTAGATGCCTCAAATTGTTTTTTGATCCGTCGATCCATTCAAGAATTATGAAAGATTTCGAAATGGCTAATTTTACAATTTACAAATTTTACAATCGACTAATTTTATAAGTTTCTGCAGTAAGAATTGGCTAAATTCACGTAGCCACAAATTGTTATTAAACGCTATTTTATAAATGACTGAATATATATTTGGTGAAATTTCCATTTGGCTAATTACATTAATATCATTTTTTATTAGCGACTAATTTATAAAATAGCGAAAAATAAAAATCTGTAGCTAATTAAATTTAGTCAATTCTTACTGCAGAAACTTGTAAAAATAGCCGTTTTTAAACTTCTTATAACTTTTGAATGAGTCGGTCGAATCTGCTCTAATTTTTAAAAAAATCTTAATTTATGAAAGTCCTTTTAGATGCCTCAAATTGTTTTTTGATCCGTCGATCCATTCAAGAATTATGAAAGATTTCGAAATGGCTAATTTTACAATTTACAAATTTTACAATCGACTAATTTTATAAGTTTCTGCAGTAATAATTGGCTAAATTCACGTAGCCACAAATTGTTATTAAACGCTATTTTATAAATGACTGAATATATATTTGGTGAAATTTCCAGTTGCTAATTTCATTAATATCATTTTTTATTAGCGACTAATTTTACAAATGGCTATTTTTCAGTAAACTTAAATTAATGTCCACGATTGTACATTGAAGTTAGCAGATATGACAATTCTTCAATTATTTTTTATTTAAACAAAAAAATGATTGTAAAAACAATAATACATATTATATTTTTCAAACTACTGATGATTGCTAACTTCCGTATGATTAACATTTATTAGTTTATATATTATCTTTTGAAAATATTTAAAAGAATAACCCTTGAAAATATAGTCGATGAATCACTTTAATTTCGACACAAGGTCAACCACGTACATACATTTTAAATGCTTTCGCTTGTTACGAAATCGTTTCTTGTGGATTACTGTCTACAAAATTTAGGGCATCAAATATAATTTATATAAACAAAATATTTACTCTTTTATTATCTCTGTTTGTTTAATAATATCAAATAATATGATCTCGGAGCTAAATTTATAAAATAAAATTAAATATTATATATGTAACGATGCTACCGGGATCGTGATTTGAATATATATCAGCAGAAAATTAACTATTCAATTCAATTCAATAAAACAAAAATAATAAAAAGTAGTACACGAGTTAAAAATAGTATCTTTGAATATCGTATTCGCGTGTTATAACAAAATAATAAACATAGAATTAGTTTATTGACAAAGACAATTTTAATAAATTTATCATTTATCAGTATAGTAGTAAATAAATGAATATAAATAACTTACTGAGGATTATTAGTAAGTCGATCAATTTCAAGTTTTTTCAAACTAGCGGGCAGCACTTCTTCTGCCATGCTCGTTATTATTTTTCCCGTTTCAATATTCAATGTTTGTGGAAACATTTCATTTTCACATTTAATCTTAACTATAAATGTATATCATAAGCAAACAAAAACAAATTATTTTTCCTTTCTTTTAATGATAGTGTCTCCTCCTGCTGAAGTTAACTGGTAAACACGAAGTTTCGAGAAGCCTTTAGGTTTTCGGCAATTAGGTTAGAAATACCAATATCGATGAGTTGCATAAAAAATCCACCTAAACCCACGTAAAAATAACATTACACAAATATATGACAATCATGTTTTTATATTAATAATATATTACTTCATTGTTATTATTATATTTTTTAAAAAAATAATAGTTACCATAATAATATAATATAACTTCACTCTCCGACAGTTAATAATTTATTTAAATAATTAATCGTTCAATTATTGTCGTCCCTTTAAATAAATGTTTTTATTATTAAGTAAATTTACAATAAGTAAAATACGTAAATAAACACAGACAACTGCGCACAACGGCCATTTTAGCATTGAACTCTTTTTAAAAATGACTAAGAAGGGGACAGAGGAAGGTAGGAGCAGCTTGTTGTATTAAAAAAATTTATTTATAGGTGGGGGTAATATACTGGTTGCGCATTTGAAGTTTGTTTGTTTTTTTTTTTTTATCATCAATTCATATACTTATGCAGAATATATATTTATATATACACAAATATTTTAAATACTCTGTGTGTCTCATAGATGCAGTAAAATAGAAATGAGGCTTAAAATATCGATAATTGTATAGAGTGACTTAAAAACCGAGAATTGCCGAGTATTGACGAATGGAATTGTTACTATAATGATTATTGCATAGAGACAAGAGCCCTCTGGATTAAAACGTTTCGTGGCTCTGGCGAGAGTATCCGAATGTACAGGCAGCCATTTTTAAACTGCTCACCTGCAACAAGAGTAGAGAGACAAGAAGAGACATGGACGTTAATGTAAATTTCCAATGGTTATTCACGTAAAATTTTAATAATAATAGTAACAATTACTAATAGATTTTATTTTTTATTTATAATAACTGTGGGTGATTTTATTGTACAGTGACTCGATTACAAATTTATATGACAAAAATTATATATATATATATATATATAGATATATAGATAGATAGATATATAGGCATACATACATATATATCTATATAAAAAGTCGTGATTGAGAAGGAAAGACAACACGGATTTATGAGCAAAGTGAGACAGAGGAGGGTTAACAACTGGAAGTGAGAAAAAGAGAAATAAAAGTGAGAAGTTGGTCTGGGCTAAATAACTAACTACCAAGGGGGCCCTGTGAATTTTTATTCCAGTCGAAATGGTGGACTGTCAACATCTTGTAATAATTTAAAAATGTTAATTATTAGTGATAACTTTATAAAATGTGTGAATAGACTTTGACTAACAGCTTTGGGGCATTGATTATTTGATTTTATTTTTTTTTCTTTCTTTCTTCAAGTATTTAATATAATATTTATTTTGGAGTTGTGATATTAAATGATCGTCGTAATTATCTTATAATATAATATAATATAAAAATAATAATAATAAAAAATAATAAGAATAATTATAATAAGAAACGTCGTGGTTAATGTCGTCGTCATCGTGGTTGTTGTCGTGATCGTGATCGTCATAAACGTTGACGTCTTAAAAGTAAAATAGTAAAGACGCAAATATGTCACTTTTAATAATAATATGGATAAGAGAGAGTATGTATTTTACAGAGATAGAGACTGAGAAATGTTAAGTTCCGTCAATAATGGGAGATAATGTGCCCAGAAAATCGCACAAGCTGTCGGACGTTAATAAAAAAATACCAAACGCAATTAATCGTACGACAACGGAGACTATGAGACTTGGTGAGCCAGACAGAACACACCCGGCGTTGGGTCTGTCTGTGCCTAGCAACATTACGCCGAGCAGTCAGTGCAAGAAAAAAACATCATCCTTTCAAATAACTAGCGTCACTGTTGGCACCCGTATGAGTAATGACGCCGGTGAAGATTCTAACGATGATCTTGATGAGTCACACGGCGAAGATACATCTATTGAGTTATCAAGAATTACGGATATTGAAACCCCGAGCTATTCCGAAGACACATTTTCAAAGGAGGATGTTTTTTTTAATGCCAGTAATGCTGCTCTAAGTACTGCACCCGTTATTCCAACTAGTTCACAGTACGGACTTGCCATAGTACCGTCCGAAGGTGGTAATGTTAATAATTCAACAAACGACACAAATATTAATTCACTTGATATTGCCTCTGTTACTGATAATAACATTATTAATTTGTTATCGAGTACCGCTAAACAGGACACGGATATCCGGGAGGTACATTCACATGGACGTAATGAGAGATTCAAAGTTGTTAAAATCGAAAGCACGGAACCTTTTAAACGGGGCCGATGGACGTGCATGGACTACCTTGATCACACTAATTCTGTTAATCAGTCGAATGCCATTGGTACACCCAAAGTATCCGATCCAAATGAAGTATGTATATCGTATGGTGTCACGGACGGTGGGATTATTGCACTAGATCCGTCCAAGTCTTTGACCACTGAAGATAATGGCATTATCAATGTTGATATGAATGGACATGCGACACATCAAGATATTATTAGCTCTATGATTTCAAATACTGTTGCTACTTCTGCTCCATCTTCTTCTTCTATTGTTAATCCTAATGCTGCTGCTGCTGCTGCTGTTGCTTATTCTGTTAGTAATAATTCCTTACCGCAGAATATCCAGCGCACTGTTGCACCCGTTCAACAGCCTACTCAGATACCCCAATACTTCCAATCGTCACCGCAGCAGCAACACCAGCAGCAACAGCAACAGCAACAGCAACAACAACAACAACAACAACAACAACAACAACAACAACAACAACAACAACAACATCAGCAGCAGCAGCAGCAACAACATCAGCAACAACAACAACAACACCAACAACAACATCAGCACCATCAACATCCACATCAACACCAACCACAAGGTGGACAACAGCAACAACAAGGTTCGACGTTACCTGCTAATTTGCAAAATTCACATCCTAATAATTTAGGACAACCTCAGAGTATGCCTCAAGGTTCTATTCCTATTATTACTCAGACTAATAATAACAATGTGACGCCACAACAAACTATAAGTCATACGAAGGAAGATAATACGTATGTAACAGTAAGCTCGCAAAATCAATCCATGCCAGGTCAAAATGTTTGTCAACCGTCAGTACAATCATCGACACCAGGTTCCCAGGCTACTAATATCCTCGTAACACAGCATCAGCCTCAGCAACAAACTCAACCCCAGCCTCAACAGCAACAGCAACAGGGGCTACAAGCGCCGACATCGATGACTCAAATTTCCGAGCCAATCAACACCTTGCAGAATATCCAGGGCATGCAGGGTATCCACAGTGTTCCTCAGACAAGTATACAACAACCGACTTCGACAATTCATGTTCCTGGTGGTCCTCTTCCTACGCAAGTGATTCCTCCGACGGCGATGCAACAGCCACAACCAGCGGGTGCTAATAGTCAGGTGCAGATGACCCAAGTTTCTGGAAACTGTCAAAATGTTGTTCCTGGAATTCAACAACAGCAGAGTTCTATGGGTTTTCATCAACCCGACATAGAGCTGGATTCCATGTCGGGAGGACTAGCTAATGCCGGCAGTAGTCAATTAGCAGACGCGGCGCTCCTTGAATGCCTTGCTGAGGTAACGCAGACCAACGATGATCATCATACACTTGAAGACAATGAAAGGTTCGTTTAAATACACATACATTTATCTACATCTATATTTATGTCGCAGTTATTTAATCAACGCTTGATAGGATAATACGCTGTGTATTAACCCGTGAAAATAATCATGATGTTACTTTTTGTTACAGTATGTCGGGGACAAGTGCTGTAGCTATTGATAACAAGATTGAACAAGCCATGGTGAGTAACTCATTTAAATTTATTATTGTGATTAAGTAATTGTGTTGATGTGATGATGACGACGACAACGACGATAATTTATCACTTGTTGTTGTTTTTGTTGATGTTTTTATTATTATAAAAAAATTTTTGTTTTCTTTTTTTAAGGATTTGGTCAAGAGTCATCTAATGTTTGCTGTGAGAGAAGAAGTTGAAGTGCTGAAAGAAAAAATAGCCGAGCTAATGGATCGTATAAATCAGCTCGAGGCTGAAAATTCAATTTTAAGAGCACACGCGACATCCGAAACACTAGCTCAATTGAGCCAATCGACAACCAAATTACCCCAAAATAATTCAGCAAGTGGTCAATAGGTAATCATCCGATGTAAATAATATAAGTTTCTATCAATACTTCGTCTCATAATTGATAATATAATTATTGTATATAACTTTACGATTTTTAGAAATTTATAAATAATGAGATTTATTATATTATACATATTAGTATTAGCAAAAAAAATGAAAAAGAAAAGCAACATTTTTTTTTAATCTAAGTAAATTAAAAGTTATAGATTATTTTTTACTATTGCAGTTTATTTATTTCAATTAAATATATACGTATATGTATGTATATTTTATAAGTATATATTTAATTGAAAAATATTTCTTTTCTCAAACTATAATGGCTCGACACGCTTCATTTTACAATTATACTTAAAATTTTTTTTTTTTTTTAATTATTCTGGGCCTGAAATAATTAAGTTAATGGAATTTAACAGATACATAAACATACACATACATACTTACAAAAAAAAATATATAAATTTCAGGGACGCATTCGTGAGTGAAGAAAATCACTGACTTAAAAGAAAGATTTTAAAAAAAACAGCATGTATATATATGTATATTGTTTTTGCATTTGTTCTGTGTAAAAAAAAAAAAATGAAAACAAATCCTTCAGTGCATGTTAATTAAATTATAAATTATATTAAATTAAAAATAAAATTAATAAAAAAAACTCAATGACAAACGAAGTAAAAAAGCTAATAAAATATTTAAAAAATTAAACAATTAAAATCGTATGTCTTATTGTATCAAAAGGCAGTTTATCAGCTACAAGCTTATTTTATCAATTTGAGATAGTCCATTATTCCAAAAAATTAACTTATTTATTTTATTGAATTATTAAGTGATCCAGACGAAATGAAGAAAGTAGTTTTCTTATAAATTGTTAGTTTATATACACATATGTACTGTTATTTCATCCAATATTTGTGAATATTTCGACAATTTTTTAATTCAATTCAAAAGAAGAAAAAGAAAAAAACAATTGGATAATACAAAAAAAAAAAAAAAAAATTTATAATATTGACTATTATAACTTGATCCAAATGTGCTGTTTTAAAAATACTCACGTTAAATTTTCAAGTGACGCGTAATGAAAGTATGAGTGATCAGATCAATAATAAGAACAATAGAAAAAATATATATTTAACATTGATTGCTGATTTACGTCAGCAATAGTGGAGAAGAAAAAAAAAAGTAAATTTTTAAAATTGTCTGCATCTTATTTTACATCTGAATACATGCCTAATAAAAAAAAATCTGTTTTGATTGTATCATTTTTTCTATGATATTAATATGAATATATATTTATATATATATATATTCATTCCCTTTTATTTATTTTTTTATATCTAGCATACCATGGTGCCGGTACAACAAATAAAAAGAAATAATTTATGTTATTAATACAAAATCATTTTTCTATCATTAAAATTTCTTTATTCTAAATAATGCGGTGATTTTTTTTTTTCTAACGTTTTCCGCATATTCATATATTATATATATATTTAATAGTAAAAGATGTAAATAATACACTTTGTCTAAATATATATAAATATAAAATTACACGGATTAAAGTAATAAAAAAAGCACACGCGTGTGACCGTTTTAAAAATTGTTTTTTTAAATATTTTTTTTTTACTTTTTATAATTTTTTTTTTTTGGACAATTTTATTCGGGTCACTATAAAGGCTAAATATGACACTTTAACATAAAACCTTATTACAATGAAGACCATTTTGATGATCTAAGAAAAAACATAAATCATAATTACACCTTATAAATTTATAAATGTTATAAACTTCTTTTTTTTCTAGGAAGAGAAAGAAAAAATAACAACGTATAACTTTTTATTTTATTCCTTATTATATCATTAAGAATTAATCGTTATTGGATCATCCACGCGAGTGATCTTGACAAGATGATGATAATAATAATAATTACGACGATTATGGTGGCGATGAGGTTGATGATGATGACGATGATGATGATGATGATGACGTTGGGAAAGTTAAAGGGTAGATGATGATTTTGCGTCGAGCACGGGATCACCACGAAAACGCTTCATACGAATCCGAAATTCTTAGTTTTTATAGCAAGTAATAGCTTGTGGCGTAACACATGACGTGAGCTGTACAGTGGAACGTATAAACGTGAAATACATGTATTTGCCGTTGGTAAATGAGCATCATCTGCAGGTCTAATTGTTACACTAGGCATTGGTTGGAAACCATCTTCACTTGCTGGTAATGCTGGTGATCCGGTCCAGAAATAAACCTACAATACAAAAAATAATAATTATTATTATTATCATTACAATGTAATTTTTACGCTATATATATATGTATATATATATGGGTGATTTTCTCTGTAAGGATATTTTTTGCTGTCCCAGGCATTTTTTTATTAGAAAAATTGTTATTTTGTTACAACAAATTTATTACGAAAGTAAAAAAACATTTCTATTTGGAGCATTGAAAACTAAAATGAAATAAATTTTGGTTTTTTTTTGCTATAAATTCATAAACCATCGAAATAACAGTCCCCTAGGCTGTCCCATTCTCAAAATTAAAATTTTAAGATTAAATTTTAAGTTATTCGTCCATAATGTTTATAAACTTAATCAGTTAACTAACAATCTTCTTCAATAAAAAGTACCGAAAATAAATTTGTTTCATTAAATTCATTAAACCAAAGTTTGTCCCAGGCATTTAAATAACAGTCCCCTGCCAAAAGTTCAAAGCCAAAAAAAATTCCAGCGTGTTATTTTACCTTTCGTAAGGTTTATAAGGACCTAACTAGCCTTGAGTTAATAATCATAGGGCTGTTAGCGCTTTATCGCAATTTTATTTAGTGTTAAAGCACAGTTTGTGCTGCAAAAATGTGTCTGGGCCACTTCAAAACTCAGTCCCCTGGCAGCTATTTTTATTTATAAAATTGGATCCATGAGTCTTAATATTATTCTAATTAATGTAAACATTTATTGAGAACTTGAAAAGTTGAATGCATTGAAATAGATTGCTTGATTTTTCTCAATTTGATAAAAAAAAAAAACAGTCCCCTGTCATGTTATATGGCAAAAGATACACAAATATCGAAAAAGCAAAAATTAAATCGGCTTTTTATTTTTTATTATTATTATTAAGCTGATAGTTTAGTAGCCCTTGTTAATTTTTTTTCCAATAAAATCAAAAATAATTTGCTCGGACAATTTTGTACAGATTTAAGACGTCCTTACAGAGAATCACCCATATATTTAAAAAAAAAAAAAAACTTACCAAATCCTGTCGTTCAACATGAGACATTTTTTCAACAATAGACCATAGCCACCGTTTAAATTTAACAAGTCTTTCCATCGACTCCCCAGATTCATCATTAAATGACGTATATGAAATAAGCACAGATACATTTATATCACCGACGCCATTTAATAAAAGCCTCAAATCTTCAGATGTTAAACCGTCCAATGCTCCCTCTGGTAATACGTCAAATACACCTTCACGCATCGCTTCCAAAGCTTTCTCCTGTACTTTAATCATACGAACTTCCGCATATCGCCGTACGTAGTCATAGACATTGCTCGCTGTTACTTCAACGTCTCGCCCGCTGGCTACAAGATCGATAGAGCCACCACCTTCTTCAGGACATAAGTCAATACTGCATACCGGAAAATAAAATATGCACATTATATATTGTAATTGATACATTAACTCATCTCAAAATGTTTATATGTTAATTATAGCAATAAAATTAATCTGAAATAAAATATTAACATACCTGAATGTCAGATCCAGTGCAGAAAATAAACTATTGCTGTCTTTAGTCTCTGCGTCAACTACCAATTGTCTTAAACTTTCATAAATAACACTGTCAAAGAATGCCAAGTCGTGAAAACGTATTGGTCTTGATAGTATATATTTAATAACATGACGATTAAGAAATATAGGACATAATTCGTTTTGTAACAGACAAAGACCTATAAGTCTGAAATGAAAATAAAATTTTATTATTGAAAATATTTTCTTTGTAAATAATTATTTATATTGTAAGAATAATAAATAAAATTCAAACATACCTGCCAACATTTCTGAATGCATTGAGACGTTCATAACTAGCTCGTCCTTGCCGTGGTGTGTAAAAACCACGTTTACCTGGTGAATAAAATAACGGAGCATTGTCCTCAGTATCATCTAAAATGCTGTTATCCATTTTCTTTTTATTAGCGCCACACCGTTCAGTTAAACTAAATACATCGAGATCGAGCAGAGCTTCACTAGCCAAATCTTGATTGTGACTGTGTATTAAGTCACACGCTTCTTCTACCTTTTGCTGCAATGCTTCTTCAGAGGCCAACAGCATCAGCAATTGAGCTGGAGTTAATTCAAGTAACATTCCCGTTATTTTTTCAGCAAGTGCTGGTCTTAGTGCATGAACTTTTGGGTATAAACGATCTCCTAGGTTTTGTTGGTGTGTTGTTAAATGATCGTTGTAAACATGAGCTACAGGTATTGCATTGCTGCTTGAAGATGAACCTCCAGCACCTCCAGAACCACTAGCTCCCTCCGTCGGGAATGTAGGATGGAAAGATCGAGCTTCAAAAGATAGTTGTCTACGTGTTTCTCGGTATTTACCCGATGATCTTGGATTCTGTAAATCAGAGAAAATAATAAAATATCACATAAATAAAAGGGAGCATTAAATTTTTTAATAATAAAATTTTATAACTATAGAAACACAATATAAAAGTAGAAAAAAAAAAATTTTACTAACTTGACGTCGCAAATGTGGATCTCTGTCACGACTTTTTAATTTCTGTAGAACATTATATTGTGAATACTTAGTTCCAACTTGTGCAGCTTCCAAATTAGGCAGCTTATCATTAGCTAAAAGGGCCTCAGCAATAGCGGTATAAAAACTCCTCGCAACACCAGATCCTTCACCAGGTTCATCTTTAAACGTAACTTTAACACGATTGACAGCTAATGGCGGAGTACTTGATGCTCTTCTATTGTACAGATTGTATTGTGTATTTAATTCCTTCATTGTTTGAACCAACAATTGCGTTCTGTCTCGTTCCACCTGTAACATAATTAAAAAAAAAAAAAAAAAATTACAGAAATATGTGTATGAAGTAACTACTGCAATTAGACATTACGTACCTTAGATAGAGTTATGTCTTTTTGCTGGGAATTTCTTAATTTTTCCATGTCCCTGCGAAATTTAGCTTCTTTAACCGGAAAACCGCCCAACTCAGATACAACAGAACCAGCTTCAAGTCCAACATCTTCCATAAATACACGTCCAAACAGATCAAGTGATAATCTCCAACGACCTAATAGTATATTATGTGAAATATTTGTTCCAATAGTTGATACAGCACGCGCAGATTCGACAGGGCTTGTTTCAACAGTCTCATGTGCTGATATTTCTTGACTAGTTGCCGCTGGATCGACTTCTTCAGCACCATTTTGCGCTTCAACTGTTGGGATAACTAATACTTCAGATGCATTTATTTTATTATTAACATTTGAATCATTAACTGTACCAGCTCTAACTATAACACTTCTACCACTCTTACATATTTCTTTTCCTTTATTATTTGTTGTTGCGGTGGTTGTTGTTGTGGTTGTGGTTGTGGTTGTAGTTGTTGTTGCTGTTGTAGTTGTTGTATTATTATCATTTTGACTGTTAGGGGATACAATTATAGGAGCGCGGTCAATTTGTTCATTCATTGTGGGCATTGATGAGTTATCACTACTACCAGTTGCTATTGTCGTAGCTGTTGTTCCCATTGTTTGATTTGATAATTTTTGTTTTTCCGATTGTTTACTGCATCCTGGTTCACTCATTAACAATAAATTACTACGTTTATTATCAATTGATATTCCAGACAAAGAATTACAACTATTACTGCTGCTGCTACTACTACAATTACTATTGCTGTTATTCATATTAATGTTATTAGAGATAGTATTAATTGTAGACGTAGTTATAGAAGTAGTATTATTGCCGGTGTTAACAGTACCACTGGGTCCTTGAATAATAACTTGACTTAATGATGGAATTATTGAGGATGTAGTTGCGCTATCGACATTGCGGGCAGAAAGACCCAGTCTTGTAGGTAACCCCTCAAATAGATTATTATTAACTCCGGTAGAAGTACCAGCAACTGGTTGCCGTGGGACACCAAATAAATCTTCACGACGTGAGTGCGGTTGTAATAAATGCGGTTGATCGGCCAGTGGTAATGCTTCACTTATATTCGTATCAAATGGATCTAGCGATGGACAACCAAGACAAAGTGTTGAATCTGAGCGTTGTAAAAATGGATGCTTTCGACCCTTTCCTAATGTATTACTTGAATTTCCAGCACCACAGACTGGTACTTGTAATAAATCAGGATAATCTACTGAATCTGTTTCCATTGCAGAAGCAGCTGGTAAAATATCTTCATCTCCTTCATCATTGTCATTTTCATCCTATAAAGAAAATTTTTAAATATTAGAAAATAATTTATATATTTAAATAACTTAATCTTGGGAATTTGGACAATAAATCAAGATGTTAAATTATAAGAATTTCAACATTTTCCTGATTTATTTCAGCTTCATCAGGCGAACTAAAAATCAAAAAGTTCAAAAATCAAATCCAACATAAACATAGGATATAAAGATTATATTTATTGTTAATTTCGTGTGAGTCTTTTTATTTAAAGTTTTTTGTATATTGTAACGAGTACATGATTTTAAATATACATATGTCGATATGCGAGGCATTAGTTGGTCTCAAATGAATGCTAAGCGAATTTAGAGGTAATATTGAATACTATTGTGTTTGAATTTTATCGCTTTTATATTGTGTAGTTACTATGTGTAATTTTCGAATTTTGTATAATTATGTATATTTATGTCTTGTACAGAGCCTGAAGAAGCTGAGAAAATACAGCGAAACGTTGTGACCTAAGATGCAGTAGCATTCTTTTCATTGATCTTTATATCCTATTTATATGTTATTTGAGAGAAATCTAAACAAGTTGTTAATATTGTAATTTGGAAAAAATATTTGAGATTATGATTATACTGTTTTACTCTACTACATCTATTTACTTTGTAAAAACTAATCGAGGATGCTAACCATAAGAGTATCTATTGTTATTTTCATTTATTTTTTTTTATGTGTCAAATATTTGTATTAACTAAAATTTTTTGATTTTTAGTTCACCTGATGAAGCTGAAACAAATTAGTAAAACGTTGCAATTTTTATAATTTAACATCTTCAGTAAGAAATTAAATTATTTTAATTGCAAGGATAACAATGATTAACGTCGGTAGATATACTAACCTGATCATTCCAAGCTGAATAGATAGTTGATTCTTTTTGATTTTCTCCACGTGTACCAAGAGGCTCATTCAATGATCTCATGTAGTAAGCAAGCGCATCAAATACGTAAGCTACGTGCCGTAATGCCGAGACATCTAATACCGGCAAACTATCTCTATGTTCACCGTTGTGTGCTCGCATCAGAGATAAACAATACGACAAAAATTCACGCCTTGCCCAGTGTGCGTCGCCGACTATCAATTATAAATAAAAATAAATTTAAAATTATGAAAAAAAAAAAAAAAAAAAAAAAAAAAAAAAATAAATAAATAAATAAAATAGATTTTTTATCTAAAATATACCTTCTCGCTCTCTAGTACCTCGTGGCGCTTCGCCAACTCCTGTAAAACCGACGGTGAGTCGTGTTGATCCTTGAGTAGTGGAAATATTGTTGCTAGCAGTTATACCAGTCCGTTGATTACGACCACTGTTACCTTGCAAAGTTAACGACAAAGCTGCTGAATTCAACAGACCTGTAAAATTACCGCCTGATAATGAAGGCGCATTATTGAGAGGATGCTCAGGGTGCGTTGGATCAGCACTTCGTGTTAATGATACACCAAATCTCAATTGAGCTTCTGTTGCATCCATCACTACTAACAACCAGTCCCATGTAGGTTTTAAATGACCCTCCAAGTACATCTGAAATTAATATGAATTTATAAGTAATCAATAATTATATATTAAAAAAATTTTTTTTAAAAATCTTGATAAATACCTGTAGATGAACAGCGTCTTGATAGGTAACTTCCATTAGTCGTGACAAAGCCGGAGCGTTACTCTTGTAATTAGGAACCATTGTCAATAAATCAGCAATCATTCTAATGACAATACCAAATGCACGAGCTAAACAACTAGCAGTTGTACCCATAGTAATAGGCTCTTGAGCAGCAGCGACCGCTGAAGTAGCTGTTGATCGTCGCAATGAGGATGGATCAATAAAAATCATATTACTACCTCCCGTAACTCTTGATCCAGCGGTTCTGGTATTTAATTCACGATTATTTCTTATCGCCCATTGCATCGACATGGGTGCTAAATTATTGCGAGGCAAGTGACCTGAAGATCCACTTCTACGTTCTAAATGTTCGTCACTTATTGGAAATTCTTCAGACTCTTGTTCATCAGTTTCACCAGCTTCACTTTCATCATCTTCTTGTTGACTTGATTCACCAGATTCGTCTTCAGGGAATAATACAATAGAACCGATGCCACCATCAGAGCCAGCTGTTGCACCGGTTTGTACACTTCTTTGAGCGGAAGCAGCGTCTTGATTGCTATGATTGTCATCTGAATCAGACTCTGTTTCAGCTTCTGCCAATAAATCAAGCTCAGTATCAGACTCGCCATCGCCAGCTTGCTCTTCTCCAACACCACCAGCATGACTGTCGCCTTCACTCATTGGCTGACTTGTTGGTACTCCGGGTATTCCTGGCAATCCATTGTCTTCATGCTCACTTATGTCACCGTCTAAATCCATGGGAACTTCCTCGCCAACCTCAGCCTCATCCATCGCCACGACATCTCGAGATATCGCAATATTATTATTACCCGGTGGTTGCTCTAGGGTAGGATCTAATGTTTGGACATTAACTCCGCTGTGCGGGATCAAAGGATCTATAGAAAATAATTCTTCAGAGCCATTGACAACTTCCATTGCTGAACCAGTAAGAGTAAACGGTGCTGTTGGCCTGGCAACGCCCAGTCTTACGGGAGCTATCAGAGAGTCAGCAGTTTCACAGAGCTCTTCAACGGCAAGTTTTATTAGCGCACGAAATACACGTCGGCATTTAATTAATGGTGGAGTAGCCTGTGTAACACTTCGGCGATTTTTAGTTGGATTAGGTGCCATTTCGATAGTGAATATCACAAAAATTCTAGCAACAGATCTAACAAACCGTCGCGCGACAATATTAGCTTCTTCTTGACGTCCTGGTATTGTATCATTTTGTAATTCTCTTATCAATGTTGTAAGCAATATATCCAACATCTCAGCAGTACACTTAACCAAAAGTGTATGTGTAAATTTATCCAATAATGCAGTACCATTTTGTCGTACTGATTGCCCAGCATCACCGAACAATTGATCATTACTATTTTCAGTAACTCCTGTCATAATCATACACTGAACTGCAGGCCAATCGTTAAGCAAACGTTCAAATGCACGTCTACAAAAACGTGGAGGCTCCAAATCATGATCTGGCATATTTGTATCTGCTCCATGTCCATCTGATGAGGGGGTCTTACGGCTCGCTGAAGTTGATCGTTGTCGTGGAACCGAACGGAATTGTCTTTGTTCAATGGACTGACGGCCAACAGTTTGTACCAAAAACAAAAGTATACATTCTCCCCGTGAATTTATTTTAGTTGCTAAATCAGTGTTAGTAACAAGTCGACAAAGTAGATCATAACGTGCACCCTGGTGTCCAGCAATTAAAGCACGGCACTTGCACTTTTGCCAACAGTCACAATAAGCTGTTGGTGATGTACGTTTTAATTTACAATCATGACCACGATGACAAACACGAGCACACTCAGTGCAACAGCACAGTGAACCGGTTAAACCACAAGTACGACACTCAAATATATCTTGATTAATATGATCATCACCGGTCCAAGTAAAACTACAGGTATCATTGCAGCAAGTTACAAAAAGTGGTGATAAATCTGGACTTGCGTCTGATGGCAAAATCATTGATGAACATTCTTTGGCGTCTTTTCCTACACGTTGAATAGTATCCAACAGGATAAGTGCTGCATGATAAGCTCTAACTGATACTGCCAGCATTAACGGAGTTTGTCCTTGAGCGTCTTTAGCCGTAAGTAATTCTTTCAAATGTGGAGAAAGTACAACGGCTTCACACAGATACTTTAATATCAAAAGAGCATTATTTCTACGCTCTGAAGAATCTGTTATATATGTATTACTGGTAGTAGATCCTGTTACAGATTTATTCATCATTGAAATACTCGCAGCTCCAATGCTTAATAAACTGTCTTCTTCACCTGATGTATTATCAAGCTCTGGTGGCCAGCTGAGTGGTGGTATTGGCTCTTCAATTGGTGTCGTATTACCGTCAACAGCACATGTAACCAATTCACGTTCAACATTTTGCTCGTTATCTTTATTAGATGTTGGTGAGCACATATTTACGCAGGCGTGAAAAATATTACGATTACCATCGCAACGTTCTTGTAATATGGATTGTATTTGTTGAATATTATTAGTTTTAGCAGCATCATGTTCACAATTAATTAATACTTGTTTAACTCCTTCGTAATCACAACGAAGAATACGTGGCATTACAACGAGATTATCAAATACCAATGCAATAACAGCTACTTGATTTTTTAAGTTTGTTGAATTAGAGCAGCTTGGTATGGGAATTGTTGATGCACCAATACAAACTACTGGAACTAAATCAAGCCAATTAGAATCACGTATTGACTCGGCACAATCTTTAGCTATTGGATAAATGGTATTATTACCATCGCGTAATATCATCGAACACTCTGTATTCTCACCAGCACTCGTTAAACTAATATTTTGTGGTTCAAGTCCTAAAAATGAATTTATTTCAGATGGCAAATAACAATCTTGGACATATCTTCCAGTACTGAGATTGTAAACAACATAATTTAATTTATTCCCATTTTTAACAATTGCATGAATACCTTGTCCGTCTGTTGATACTGTCAATATACTTTCACTTACACCTTCGGCGATATTAACCCGTCGAGGAGTACGTTGAAAACAGTCAGGAGTGCGAGAATTAACCGAAGATTTAACAACTTGGACTTCATCTTTTCTCAATAATCTGCATTCAGCAATAAGTTTCATCATCTCATCAGCAGTCAAGTCCTTAAAATCCGATGTAATGAAATCTTTTTCTTTAATTTCTTTTTCTTTTTCCTTAGAATCTTTTGAGAAAAATTTAACAGCTACATACAAGCCATCAACCTTTATAACTTTACCAATAGGTACAGTTTTAACGTCTTCTACAAATACAACGTCCTTGAGTTGCCAATCCTCTTCATCTTTTCTTTCGGATTCACCTTCACTCCGAGGTGTCATACGTTTTTGACGTTTATGACTTGTTGTTATACTCCCAGTATCACTGCAAGTACTAGACGCTGGTGATGGTGGTGGTGGCATATCAAGTCTATCAGCTGTTTCTTTATAACTATTTTTACTAGTACTGGTATTACTGCCATTGCTGTTAACTTCTGTTTTAATGACATTATTGGGTAATAGAGTTCCAGCTGGTAAAATTTTAAATCGACAAGTTGCATCTAAACTCCATGCTGCTGACAATAATTGTCCAACTTTTGGTATTCCATTGGCTATTGTAAATCCAATAGCTCCAGCTTGATAAATAGGACTATTTTTCATACATACATGAGTTCCATAACTAATATCAGCCGTAACAACGGTCATAGGTCGATTTTTACCTGATTTAGCTTTGTATTTTTCCCATAATTTTTTACGTTGTGCAAATGGTAAAACACCCCACCAGTAAAGTGTACCACTCTCAAGTTTAGCAACAGTGTATAGTGCGCAAGTGTGAAGTGATACTATCTTATCAAGTGTAAATTCGGTGAATGCTTGAGCTGGATGTTCTAAACGTGATGCAACATAACCAAGAAGTTCATCAAGCCAAGTTGCAACTTTACCACTCTCAGTACTTACAGAGCAACGTATTGCTGTAGCGGATATATTAATAACTTTTTCACCGACTAATGCCAGTGGTATTGTCTTGGGATGGTGTATATTTGGATTTTCAGCGTTTCTGTATGGCTCTGAATCAGCCCATCTCCATTGGTATAATTGTCCTGTCGCAGAAACAGCAATAAGTTCACTGTAAAGCGCAACTATTTGTACAAAACGTGGTGCTGGTTCACCACTTCTCTCGTGCCACCATTCTAAATCTTCAGATATCCACAGTGGACTCTGTGATGCTAATTCTTTCTTTTTACTCTCAGGATCTTTCTCCCAACAATCCTTCAGCGCTGTTTCTAACCACCTACGTGGCCCGTAGTACTGGCGATCACGCCAACGACTAAAACTGTCGCGATCACGATCACGATCCGTAGATCTTTCTCCCTCACGATCGATACCCAGTCTTCGTGATGAGCTTCCACGGTTACGCATAACGCCATAACCAAACATATCCTCTGAAAACATCGAGTCAGCGTCAATAATAACAGACTGTTCATTACTAAATCCACCGTCCAACAGTGAAATAAGATCTTCGGGTACATAACTGTCAGCTGCATCATCAGCATCGTCACCCTCTTCATCGTCACGTGACAGTAAATTATTAACAGCTAAATTAACGTCCAAATTTGTACGTTGTAATTCTCGTATTATGAGATTACGGCTTTTGCCCTGTAGTACAACTTGAGCCTGTGAAATAAGATCTTCTGGTACAAATGGAGCGGGTACTGATACTATTGGTCTCGAACTACTGCTTCCACCACCGCCCATTATTACACCTGGTGGTCCAATTCTACTACTGCCACCTCCTGTTCCACTTCCACCACCGCCAGCACCTCCACCCCCGCCGCGTATCGCTGAACTGCTTCGCATTATTCTTGCTCTTGATCTTATATTTGCACGATTACCACCGCTACCTGTTCCACTACCACTTGGTACTGAATTTGAATTTCCAACATGATTTTTACTAGGGCTGTAAATTAATAAATAAATACATTTATTATTTAATAATTTTCTCCTCTTAAATAATTAATTAATAAATAAATTTAAATTTAACTTACGTTCGATTAGGTTCATTTTTACTAAGATCCAATCGATCTGAAAGAACAGTAAAAGCTACACGACAAATTCTGTTATCATCCATGAGTAATGCAATATGGGAAGGCCCAACGACAATACGTCTAACGGACGATTTAAGTCCACTGAATGCTGGTGGAGTGACGAATCCATAGCGATTAATTTTTTCAGCTACTTCTTTCAATCTAAAAATAAAATATAAAAAATATATTTACGCATTAGTATTATTATTATTGACATTATTATTCCCGCTAATACAAGAGACAGGAAATAGGTAATTAATAAATAAATAAATAAATAAGGTTATTAGAGTAATTAGTCAAAAGTATACTAGAAAACTGAAATAACAAAATTAAGTTAGCATATCAGTAACATTTATGAAATCCATTAAATACACCGATAAGATGACGTACGTAATATTTCAACCTTTGCGCTTCTATTCACATAAACTGTTGCATGGGTTATATTCTATATATATATATATACATATATAAATACATGTACATATTGTTCTACGACTATGTACATATATTTCCATTAACACACAAGTCTATTACTATGAAAATCATGAGCTAATGTAATTTAATAAATTAACATACATACGAAAATAGCGTTAAGGTATATTAAATTTCTGGCAGAAGATACTAAAAATTTATTAAAATTTTGATTTTTTTTTTTTTTTTTTGTTAATTAAGAATAATCTAACTAAAAATAAAAAATAAAAATTGAAATTAAGGATGAGAATAGTGTAAAGAACGTCTAGAATAATATACGATATCAAATGACCCACAATACATTATACAGAACAAAGAGGTGGGGAATCAATGTGAATATCGGCGAGAGAAAAGACCAACTACTAACGAACGACATTGATAAAAAAAAGTTAATTATCATTTATCAAATATATTTATCTAAAAGGCATTAATAATAATAATTATAAAAATTATTAGAAAATAAAAATTAATATGATAAATAAATAATAAATTTTGAATGTCATAGATAGTAAGGTCAATTAAAAACCCATTGCATCACTAATCGAAAAAAAAAAAAAAAAAATAAATTATTTGATGTAAATCTCATGATGATCCTCAGGAAATAGATTAAAAAAAAAATGCTACGAGAGTTATTGATGATTTGCAACGATTTAAAACGTTGGCTCGTTAATAAAAATGTGGACTATTAAATGACGATGATGAGGATGATGACGACGGCGATGTTAAACTTTTGATGATGATGATGAGCACGGCGAATGGCATGGCTCAATATGTATTATATGGAATAGTACAAGTATGAGCTGGTAGAGAGCTAAAGGTATGCAATGAAGGAATACGTTAAAGCAAGTGAGTAAAAAAAAACGGAGGTGCCTATTGCCTCCTCATACACCAGATATATCATCTTTAAAAAACTCACCTATCGTTGAGCTGATCGTCAGTGCCTGGTAATGGATGTACAACAAAATGTATCGAAGTCATTTTTACAATCTTTTAACACAATAATATTTATCCAAAATGTTGTATTAACCTTTCCTTACGCAAAATTTAACTACAACAGAGAACCGATATTCAGCCATGTTTCAGGAGAACTATCTAGTTGCGTGTTCACCAATGCCAAAAATGGCGGCCGATATTCATTAATGGCGTTCACAAAGACCACTATCGATCCTCGTTCGCATGCGCATTCATATTTTTATAGATGTTACTCTTTCTACAAACTTTCCAAAAGAGTATTCACTCGTTTATTTTATCACTAAAATTATTTATTTAGAATTATTTTATTGCTAAACTCTCCTGAACACTTCAATATTTTGCAACACCTTACTGTTGCATGTATCAACTACTAGTTTTTTTTTAATTATTCACTTGATTTGAAAACTCTTTAATTGATATTACTACTATGAATCATCTAGGATTGGTTGATCAGATTTTAAACAGCCAATCAGAATTTCAAAATTAATACTTTAGTCGACGATTGAAAATTTACCACTTTCTTAAAGGCTGTATCATCGGTCATCGTCCTAACCTTATTTTATTGTTTGTTTTTCTTTTTTAAAATTTTTTTTCTCATGCTAACAAAAAAAAATTACAATGGGTCTATAAGTAGTATCGTGCCAACGTATATATTTATGTCATACAATATTAAATTTCTAACGCTAAAAACCCTTGACTGTTGATGAAATATAAAATAACGTGCAAGTACCATTTTTATGGACTCTGTCGATGGAGTAGGTACTTAATAATAATTCCATTTATACTTATATATAATGTTATATTTTATTTATAAATTAATCTTCATGTAAAGACCAATTGATTGGATTGATTATGCAATTACAGGAATCTTGACTAAACTTTACACTCAGAAGATAAAGCTTTGCTATAATTTGAATTTTATGTTCACAGGAATCGCATCAATCAACAAGTTGACTTTAACAGAATTTGGAGACACTGAAGTTGTTGATTATAAAAATGGCTAACCCAGGAGGTTTTCTTGCCCATTTAATTAAACTAGTTACTACAATAATATGTCTAAGATATGTTAATGATAAAAATTCTATTATGATTGTTCGAGCCTTCCAAATATTTCTTATTCATTCAATTTTAGGAATGTTTAGATTTGGTAATTTTAGAGTAATTTTTTACTTACTTACCAATTATACTTAACATTTATGACACTGAAGTTAGCAGACGTGTAAAAATTTTTGATTTTTTTTTTTTTAAATTAAATTACAACTAAAAAAAAATTTCTAAAAAATTGCACTTGAAGTTTTTCAAGTTTTTAACATGTGAATTTTTTTTTTAATTATTTAATTGAAATTTCTTCAATAAAAAATTTTTAAAAATTTTAAATTGTCAGCTAACTTCATTTTCATTAACATTTTTATTATCTAACACAAATAATTAATTTATTAATCTTTTATTACAGGCAGTACAGCAAACCTGATCGGTAAAAGAAGTTTCAGAGAATTTTACGATCGAATGTCAAATATTGTTGAGATAATTCCCTTTGCCTTCTTTTCAACAGAAATATCTCGTCTTAGTAATGTTGATGAATTATTACGACACTCATTACTCCTTGTTCTTATCCTATTACCAATTACCCACGAAATAATGCCGAGAAAAGAGCGCCCAAAATTGCGCGTGCTGATAAATCATTCAATAAATTTACAATTACTTATTGTAACAATAGCCTGTCTACAGAGAGGCACTTTTGGTGTTATTTCTTTTGTCTTATCTTACATATTTAATCGTTACTACACTGAATATTTTTGTGACTTATTTGATGTGCCATATGAAGACTTAATACAATACAGTCTCTGTTTCGTTGAGATTTTTTCATTAACTGCTATACAAGAACTGTAAAAATAATTACTCTTCCTTCTTCTTATCTTTATGTATATTTTTTTGTAAATCTTGTACATTTTTTTTAAATAATTATATTACTTGTTACCCACTACATATTTATTGAATAAAAAAAAAATAAATAAAAACACATTGGGATGTTTTTAAATGAAAATTAAGTTGGTCAACATTTAAAAATTTTTAAGATTTTTTTTTTTTCATTAAAAAAATGATTCAAAAAAATAAAAAAAAATTTTCATTTGTAAAAAACTTTAAAAACCGTAAGTGCAATTTTTTAAAAATATTTTTTTGTTCTAATTTAATTATTAAAAAAAAATCAAAAATATCGGCTAACTTTAGTATCATTGTTTTCAATTTAAATTTCCCGCGTTTCGGACCGAGATAATCAAAATGGCATGCGGTAGTTCGCGCGAAATAAATAGTTAAAAATCCGGCTTAAGGCTTTTTCATACTATAAACTGTTAAATATAAGTATAGAGCGTGTCTTGAGAAAATTTTATCAGGCGTCTGACAGGTATGATTGAAATTTTTTTGTTTGTTACAAATCAATTAACTTATTATATTAAATTAACAAAAGAATAAGTATTTTTCTATAACCAATTGATCGATTGAAAAAAATTTATCACTTAATTAATTTATAAATTTATTTTAATTAATTCGATTAATTTTAGTATTGGCGATAAAACATCTTGTGGCCTGGGAGTTATCACGTTGAGTATTTGAGAGTCGGTCGTTAAGGGGCAATTGGCCAATCCGTAAAAACCGTTAACATTAGAAAACTTTTTTTCTCATCTTACATACTCCAGTCTCCAATATTGCATACATATACCGACATAAACTCCTATATATAGGTATATAAGTATACTTAACTAGGTACACTTAGTGTCTGTGACTCTACGGATTACAAACCAAGCGATTCTGTTCCGTACCGGGTACATTTGTCATTTACGTGCGCGGTGAACCACTCCCGATATAAATAATTTTTTTCATTGTGGCATTGGTAAGTAATAAGCGGGACTTATCGTATCATTTATTCATTTAATTAATAATGTATAAATATATTTATACATTATCTAGCAATGGTTATGACCTTCGGTGGTCCTTGATCATGCGGTTTTATTTTATTTCGTTTTCTTTTTAATTTTTTAGTAAATTCCCTCGTCACTCGACACGGTGTTCAATCTCCAATATAACTCGGTGGCATTGTGGTTAGAATATACCCTAAATCTCCTTTTTGTGCCGGACACGCGGTTCATCTTTTTATTCACATATTTATTCATATCCTCATGTATATATTATTATCTTGAGTTGCTAAATATGGACAGGAAGTTGTGACTATTTCTAAACTAACCTAGCAACACACTCACCATTCAAAAATTTTCATAACGTCTAGACTTGCTAGTTTATACGTTAATTTTTTTTTTTATTTTCTTAAAACAGGTTTATTTTATTCCACTTATTTGTGTTACATATAAGACTTATGAATAAAAAAATCGGATTGGTTGTATAAAAATTACAGTTAGTTAATAAGTTCTATATCGCTGATTTTTTTAATTGCTCAAACTTGTAAATTACAAACTGTAAATTTTTCTAGTTCTGTACAAGTTATAACTGCGTTTACTCATAAATTTTCAGAATACCGGTATTTTAAAAAGTCATATTTTAAATAGCATTTTATGATTTTATTTTACAGATAATATAATAGTTGAAAAACAAAAACATTAACGATGGCGGTAAATGTCTATGCGACTAATGTGACAACAGACAACCTCAGTAGACATGATATGCTTGCATGGGTTAACGATTGTCTGCAATCATCTTTCACGAAAATTGAAGAATTATGTACGGGTGCTGTTTATTGCCAGTTCATGGACATGCTCTTCCCTGGTTGTGTACCTTTAAAGAGAGTCAAATTCCGTACTAACTTGGAGCATGAGTACATACAGAATTTCAAAATTCTACAGGGAGCATTTAAAAAAATGAACGTCGATAAGGTAAGCTGGATTATTATGAATAAAATACATAATTACTTATATTTATGAAATTGTTGTTACAAATTAATTTTAAATATTCAAAGTTAGAAAAAATAAAATTAGAATTAACTTAAAAAACAAAAAGAAAAAAAAAATATTTTGTACGACGTGGTCAATCAGGTAATTCCAGTGGACAGGCTGATAAAAGGGCGATTCCAAGACAACTTTGAATTTTTGCAATGGTTCAAAAAATTCTTTGACGCAAATTACGATGGACTTGAGTACGATGCATTTGAAGCTCGTGGCCGGGTTCCACTGGGTAATGGTGTTGATGGTTGTCATAATTCATCAAATCCTCAACTGGTACCGCTGCCAGCACAGCCGCGACCATCTCAAATGCATCAAAAACCAATTCCACAACAGCGTAACATCGCACAAAGACAACCGGGTACATTATTCTGAAATGACATTATGTACTCAATAATACTATATGTCTGTTTAATCTGCATGGTATCTTGTATATAGATTATTTATATCACTCGATTAAATTTATTTTACATCACCGGCTTCGAGGATGTCACTGTTGGTTGTTTTTTTGCTGCACCAATGGTCATTTTTCTTTTGTCAATTAATATTATTTAGATATGTATATATTGTATTAAGTACTAGATTTGATTAATTTATGTAATTATGTATATTTTAATTATAATTTTGGTAGAATTTAGTTTTGCACATTAGATTTTCTTTTTTTTTTTGTTTTACATTAATTTACAGATTGTACCTATCGATAGGCTGATCAAAGGTCGTTTCCAAGACAACTTTGAGTTCTTGCAGTGGTTCAAGAAATTCTTTGACGCAAACTACTCCGGAAATGAAGCTTATGATGCACTCGCAATGCGGGGAGGTGAACCCATGGGTAGTGGCGGAAGTAACGTACCACGCGGTTCAGGCATGATCAAACGGCCCTCACCACGCGACCCACCTGCTTCTAAACCCATTGCGCGTACCGGTATAATGCTCACCAAACTTTATTTTATTAATTACGATTTGAATTTTAAAATAAATTTAATCAATCAATTAATATATGTAAATATATATATATATATATTTTTTTTTTTGCAAAAATTAATTTTTAAAACGTTGTGAAAAAAGTAGATTTTTTAACAATTTTACTAATAATTAGATTTGCTGCAAAAGAATAATAGACAACTAATATATATTTTTCTAAAAATAGCGAGAAATAGTTAACTGATAATTGCAAATAACAATAGCACATTTTTAAATCGTAAGATTCAATTGTCTATAGGTGATATTCCTGTATCAACAATTTCTTCAGCTGCAGTGAAGAACGCAACAAAGCCTAGTAATTATTTAATTATGATTTTCTTTCGTTATTATTTTTTTTGCTCGCGTAATGCTATGCTATTGTGAATGTGTTTGCATGAGTATTTAATCAAAATATTACACTGTATATAATTGTACATGGTCTAATAACTATCTAATTCTTGTTAATTATTATTCATTAATAATTATTTACTTTTTTAATTTAGTAAACAAAATTCAACCCACCCGTCAACCAATGAAACAAACCATCGGCAGTCGTGGAGATAATGGTAAAGTGGATGAGCTCACTTCGCAGGTACAAATTGAAATTAATTTTTTTTTTTTTACATTAATAATTATCGAGTAGTAATACATTTTTTTGTGTTACTAATTAAAGGTTTCTGAACTCAAAGTAACAATTGATGGGTTAGAGAAGGAACGAGATTTTTACTTTGGTAAATTGCGAGATATTGAATTGATGTGTCAAGAGACTGAGGAAGACCAACCACCAATCGTACAAAAAATATTGGATGTTCTTTATGCTACCGAGGTAATTTCATTTTGTGATTATGATAGCTATTACTGTTATTTATAATTCTTTTAAAAGTCAAAAATAGATATTTTTATTTTGAAACCACTGATAAATTCCACATACAACTTGGTGATATCAAGACAGAAATATTTTTTCATCCAACAAAAAAAAAAAAAAATAATAATTAAAATGAACGAGCGAGAAATGTTTACCCTAAAATGATTTCAGGAGAATGGAAATAGTCACGATGACATCGCAGAAAATTATTAATCATCCTTGTCGGTTATCTTTCATTTCGCAAATTAAAGGTAACATAATGAGAATGGTAGATCTTCAATCTGATCTGGTAGTCTTTTTCGTTCTTTGGTCGTCATTCTGATATTTACAGACGATCCTCTAAAAATTATAAAAATAAATAAATATCTCAGGGATTTTATTGAGTGATTTGGGCTTAGAGTAATTGTTTTCAGTATAAGGGTTTTGTGTGGTAAAGGTTGTGTTTGACTCCGCAGATAAGTTATCAAATCATACTAATTATTTCATTGACAATCTAATCATCCATTAGAGTTAACTTAGTAGTATAGTCATAATCATATGTATTTGTTGAATCAACTCTCATCTTCCTCTTCGTCATAGCATTATTAAAAAAACGATAAAGAAATTAAATATTGACACTATTTCTATCTACTCATTCATTTTGTGTTTGTATCATCATGTAAAGTCACATTATTGCACGTTTGCTTTTTTTTTCTTCATTGAAAGCACTGAAGTTTTAAACAAAATTTATTTGGAATTATCATCAATAGTTTAAAATGTCGTATTTCACTGATTTAAATAAATTTTTTTTTCCGAAAAATTTTATACAAATTATACTAAAATTTTAGTGATCAAACTACTTAGAAATAATTTTTAAATATATATTTTACAATATCATATCCCACGACAATAATATTTTGTTTTTATTGCTTGCTAAAAAATTTTTAAATTTCGAATATAACATTTTAAAATTTAGACATTGAAATTCAATTAATTTATTGATTGTAATAAATCAGTGACAAAGTTTTTTTTTTTTAATTTTATCTTGAAATTTTTGTTACATCATACAGAATATTATCCTTTTAATCATTTGACTTTTATATTGTGGAAAAAATTATTTGAGGAAAAAATTTTTTTTTTTCATTTATATTATTTTTACATTATTTGATTTTTATAATTATTTAATCATCACAAATGCTTCATTACTATGCAAAAAAAATATTAACATAAATTAAATAGTGGAATATATGGTCAAATAAGGATTGTGTTAATTAATGGCTGAAGATAGCTTGTAAAAGCGCTTCATCAAATCACGCATATTTAAATCGTCATTTTATTTAAAAACACTGACCGTAAATGAAAAGTAAAAAAGTAACCTAATAAAGTTTACACGTATATAAATGAATTTTGGAACGACAAAAAAAAAAAAAAACGAATGGATATTTCTTCTCACATGAATTGGCTCGAATGTTTTTCTTCTCAGAGATTGCAACTTGAGAAGCTCACGTGGCTTTAAAAAAATTTTAAAAATAATCAACTTGACCAAGTCTAACTAATCTTAAAGCGAGTGTTAATTAACATGGGTTTTGTTTTTATTTGCAGGATGGTTTTGCACCACCAGAAGAATTGGAAGGTGATGGTCTTGCTCCAGATGACGAAGAATATTAACCAAACTTAGATAATCATCATCACCATCATCAATTTACTCAATCATCAAAACAGCAGTGAATTTTAATAGCGTTATTGTACGCTATCATTCGTGAGCCAGTAAAAAAATCTACCACCTTTCGCGCATTATTAATAATATCTATTAATTTATCATTTAGCATTATCCAGACATTCTTTTCATACTTAAAATATTTGAGTTAAAACTAAATTGCATTTTGTATAATTATTCGAACTATTTAGAAAATGAATTAAAAAAAAATAAACACACCAATAATAGATTACAATTGTATCAAAACCAAATTATGTGTTAGAGAGTCAACAGACTTAATTAGTATGTGAGACGTGATAGTGTAACTTTTTTTTTTTTTTTTTTTTTTTTTTTTTCTAAGCATTTACTTCTACGTGTGATCCTGCGTTCTATGATCTTTGTAAAAAAAAGATGATGGGGTTCACAAATATTAGAGTCGGAACAAATTAAATATAATGTTAATGCTGCTGAACAAACCTTGTTCTTCGTGCCTAAGATTTATAATATTCTTTGGTAATTTATGTTAATTTTATTATTCAATTTCTGTGTTTTTTTTTTATTTTAATCATTAATTACATTGTAAAGTTTTCACAAAAATAGATTGGTTTCAATTTCTTTTGTAAATTGTTTCTTTCCGTTACATTTTGTTCGACTATCACTAATAAGTAATTGTTAATTTTTTATATCAACAATAATAATTATAAGAGCACGCTACGCCACACGAAATAACTTCGTATAGATGTGACGAGTGATTGTGATTCATTTGCATTTTTTAAAAATTATTTACATATATTATAAGTACTTTACCTGTTTTCAATTGTCTAAATTAATGGTAGCTTGTACAGAAAATTTAGATAACTTAGATCTGAAAATATTCAAATATACATATAGTACTCAGTCATTTTAAAAACTATATGGCTCTTCTGTAAAAGTATTGATAAAAGAATTATTAAATGTAAAATTGAATTATGAATAAGAATTTAATGTCGATGGAATCACCGTCGAATAGAAAGCAATTCATTTTTGGTTTTAAAAAAAAAAAGAAGAAGAATAAATAATATTTATAATGTTATTGGTGTTTAATAAGTGAGACTTGAAGGATAAGAGTAATAATATTAATTGAAAGTTTAATATTTGAGTAAATAGATATATTTACTTAATTAATAATCTTTCATGTAAATGCACATACGCACGAGTAATTAAAGTTTAAAATAAATAAATAAGAGTTGATATTTAAGCGAAAGTAAATGAAATCACATATTTTTCTTGCAATTTTCTATTTCTCAGTTTGGTTGTGCTGTTGTCCGTCATTTTTCGTTTTTCTATTATAAAAAAATAAATAATTGAAATTTTTTTAAATAATATGTGTATTTTTGACTTATTATTTTTAAAATACTACTAAATATAATTCTTTTTTCTACTGATTATTTTAATTAAAATTAAGTTTATCATGTTCATCATTGAATTAGACAATATATGCTACTGAATGCTTTGAAAAAAAAAAATTTTAATGATGTACTACGTAATGAGCGTTAAATAAATTTTATTCATTAAGGCTAAGAATTAATTATGTTCTTTAACTATTTACCAGTTCGGGTAGTCAATAAGTAAAGTTATTCCGAAGGCAAACGAAAAATTTATATGAATGTAATCATTCTCATTGATAGGACGAGTTAGTAAGTCTCGAGTTGATTTTTTTTTAACAATTTTTAAATTAAATAGTTTTTATAATTATTATCATCGATTACTTTTATTTAATTTGAATCAAAATTACTAATTAAATTAATATATACATGAAAAAGAAAATAAATGACCCTTTTAGAGAAAACAATAGATAAGAAAAAAAAATTCTTGAGACATGAAGAGCAAACAACTTCCAGAGATAAATTTGCGTATTCTAGATCTCTCAATATTTTTCCTGAGTTATAATAATTATTTTTATCATTCACTATCTGTTAAAGAAAATTATAATTTGGAAATTTTTTTTATTTTGATTCATATTAATTGTGAAAAAAAGTATTTAAAAAAAAAATTGCACTTTTAAATTTCTAGTGTGGAATTTTTTTATTAAAAATTTTTTCATCATGATTTAAAAGTTAAAAAATCCAAAAAATTCAGAGATATCTGTCAATTTCAGTATCAATGATTTGAATTAATAATACCACAGATTTTTTAATCAGGGGTGCTCCTTCAGAGCTAGAAATTTATATTAAAGATTTAGAAATTATGATAATGCCCATTTCTTACAATCATGGGTATTACACTTGTACCTGGTAAAGTTCGTGAATTTATTTAAAAAAAATTAATATAAAGCAATCAGGTGTATTCAAGGATACGACAGAAATCAACAATTTTTTAGTTTGCTCATTATTTTTATTTAAATTAATAAACTTTATAATACCAAAAATTTCATGACATTAAAGTTAGCAGTCACTCGAGAATTCAAAAATTTTTTTTTAACAATTTTCCACACACTCAATTTTTTTTTTCTAATTTTTTTGCCATAATTTATTTAAAAAAAAAATAACATTCTGAACATTATTAAATATCTGCTAAATTTATTTTCGTAAAAAATTTATGAAAATTAAATTAGCCGACTTCTAAGAATTTTTAGAATTTTTTTTTATTGAAAAATAATTTTTAAAAAATTAAAACAAAAATTTTCACATGTAGAAAATTTTAAAAATTATCCGTGGAATTTTTTAAAAATAATTTTTTAATTCTAATTTTTAATTTAAAAAAAATCAAAAATTTCTGAGTGTCGGCTAACTTAATTTTCATAAAAAATTCTTATGAATTAATCACAGACGCTCCGTTTAATTTGCTCAAGTCACGGGCGCTGTAGAGGACACTAGTATAAATTCCAAATAACCATCAATGTATGTAAACAACTAACTTAGCGTTTCGTAGCTGAATTAACCGAACGTTTTATTGAAATAAATTAATTCAATAAATTTTTTATCGATTAAACATGATAAAAAGTGCTTGAATTAATTAAAAATAACAAAAATTATCATTAACTTTGAGTAAAGTCGACTGTAAAAAAGTTTATAACCTAAAAATGTCAGACCATGATCACGATAGCAGTGGAGATCGCGGTGATGGAGATAGTGCTAAATCAGATAAACTATTCACTCTGAAAAAATGGAATGCTGTCGCGATGTGGAGTTGGGATGTTGAATGTGACACATGTGCTATTTGCAGAGTTCAAGTCATGGGTACGTTTGATAAAACATTGTATACTACGATTATTGACTTAAAGATCTTTCAAGCTTAAAATTTAATTTAAATTACTTCATTGAACTTGGATAATTTTTATATCTTTTAGTATCAACAAATTTATTTAATTTTATTGAAATATTAAAAGTGTGAATTTATATCAAATCATGGTTTTAAAATTTTAATAAAATGGAGTTAAAATTGATAAGTTTAATTCACCAAAAATTATATTGAAAAGGTCATAGAGCATCTAACTGATTAATTTCAGTCAACCAGAGTAATTTTAGGCTTTTAAAGTAACATTATGAAAATTAATACAGAGATAAAATTTTTTTTTTTACGGATGTTTTTAAATTATACTGAAAATTTTATTAATTGTATTAGTTTCTCAATGATAATGTGAAATAAATCAACAAGTCGAGTGTTTCAAAGGACAATTAAATTTTGTGATACTGAAGTTAGCTGACAACTGTCAATTTTTATTTATTTTATAATATATCAATTACAATAAAAAAATTCTTCTAAAAATTTTTACTAATAATTTTTTTTAATTTTTACATATAGAATTTTTTTTATAATAATTTCATTACTACAAAATTCTAAAAAAATTTATGAAAATTAATTTAGCAGATATTTTATAATTTTAAGAATTTTTTTAACAATTGAATTATATCAAAGAAAATGAAAAAAAAAATTGACATTGAGAAAATTAAAAAAATAAAAAATCCTATTTTTTAGAAATAATTTTTCGGAGCAAATTTATTTATTAAAAAAAATTAAAAAATTGTCAAGCCTAGGTACTGCTAACTTTAATGTCATAAAAAATTTCCAATGTCTGTCAACTTTAGTGTCATTAAATTTTCATTGAAATTTATTTCATTCATTCACATAATTACCAATTATTTAATGTATCTCAGAATTACTATCATTGGTAATTGAATAATATTTATGAAATGTTTTTTATTTTAAAAATCTGAACAGGATTTTCCCGCTTTTTTTTTTCAAGCTAAAAAATCTGAAAATTGTTTCAGGTCTAGGGTCGACATTTTCTTAAAATTTTCAAACAGCGATATTTTTTTTAAACGCGTTAGAATTCAACCTAACTTCCCAAGTATAAAAAGATTTTTAATTTATTTAATCAATTGTTTAAAGAATTGAAACAATTGACGCAGTTTTTTCATCACAAAAAATGTTTGGAGTGTCTTGAGTCGATAAGTCGACAAATTAAAAAGTTATCTCAAAAAAATGTAAACAAAAATTTTGTCTTTGGTTTCCCTTTTTTGAATATTTTTGAAAGGACTTGACTGATTGACTTAAAAGTGTAATCAGATCTAAGTTTTTATGAGGACTTTCGTCAAATACCGTCTCGCTCATTTCAATCGATTGATACGTTTTAAATATATACTGCAACAAAATTTTATTTACTTACATCCATACGTACACACGACTAGATGTCCAGTCGGGCAGTTCTGATGAAAACTTGATTGTCGAAAAATATTAATTTTTATAGCAGGAAGTTAAAAAGTAAAAAAACATGTAATAAATTATGTCAATAAATTTTTATTAAAATAATTTACAATAGAATTGATTACAAGTGATCTGACTTTTTTCTACTTGTTCTATCTAAGTAGTAAAATAATTATTGTTCATCTTAATTGATATAAAATAATTAACCATTGATTCAGAAATGTAGCCTCTGTTACAATTACTTTAATTGATAAAATAACTATTGTCAATTAATAAGTTCTAATTAAACGCAAAAGAGTTAAAAAAATTAAAAGAGAGATTCTAATAGATATAATTTGCACGCTTTTATATAACGCTGAAAGACATAAATTAAGTACACTTTAAAAAAATTATATAAATATAATAATTGTCTTTAAAAAAATATAATTTGAACATTTGGCCAATGATTTCAGAGACACATTAATAATCAATTATTAAAAACCTACTTATCGTCTATTCTACACATATTTACACACTTAAAAAATTTGTTTTAAATTATTATTTAAAGCCTCTATTTATGTTTAAAATATAGTTTTTTTTTCTACATGCGATTCAACTAATAATTCACTATACTACTAATCAAAAAGCATTTACATAAATTATCTAAACTATTAGTTGCGATTGCTAATTATTTATAACTATCCAATAACAATTATACGCTATTAATTTGTGGACCCTGTTTGTTAAATTATTTTTTTTTTTTTTTGTTTTAGTTAAATAATCACGTCACCTATTTTTCATGAGGTAGACTCTTTAGGACTCTCAACTAATGAGATTTAAAATAATAAACACAAATAAATAATAGTATTATACTTATAAATAATAACCTAAATAAAAATATTTTTAATTTTAATATTTAAAAATTTTTTATTTTTTTTACGTAACTGTAGTAGTAATAAAAAATATATCTCACAATTAAAAGTGAGTTCTTTTACTGTCTTATCTCACTTAACAATATTTATAATTGCTATTTGAGCAAGCTATTAACTCATTGATTGAATAAATTTACACGGAACATTGTTCCAATACTGCCATTCGTCCTATTCTATTACTATAATATTAATAACAATAATAATAATTATTATTATTAATACAATAAAATAGTTTTTGCTGTCAATATATAGAATTGCTGCTACAATTGATAAGTCATCTCAGCAGGATAATTTACGATGGAAAATTAAGTTTTAACCGAGAGAGCGAATTTGATAATTAATAATCCTGCATCTCGTTTATATTTTTTGATGTTAATTAAAAAAAAAAATTGAAATAAATGCATTATTAAAATTATTCAGTTTAAAAAAATATTAAAATAATTTATAAAATTCCTAACACGCTGTAGGCATAGGCCTCATATTTGCAACGGCGCTCATTCTTCTAACTGGTCCCCTTAATTTCTTTTCGATTTCTTCCAACGAGCGCCCACTTGTTTCTGGTACAAATAATATTACAAATAATAACCCAAGTACACAAATACCACCGTACATCCAAAAGGCCCCGGTTATTTTCATTAATTCTATTATATTCTGGAAAGTTTTTGTAACCAGAAACGCGCAGAACCAATTAAAACCAGTGGTTATACTAGCAGCACCACCACGGATTTTAGCGGGTAATATTTCACCCATCATCAGCCAGGGTATTGGTCCAAAACCCATTGAAAATGCGATAATGTAAATAATAATACAAGCTAATGGTAACCAGCCAAAGTTAGAAACATCAAAGTGACTGTCTTTTAAGTACAAGAAAGTAGCAAGCGTCATCAATGTTATAATCATTACAACGCTACTGATGTAAAGGAGAATTTTTCTGCCCAACCGATCAATAACAGCAGTTGCCATAAATGTTGCAACAAAGTTAACAACGCCAATGATAATTGAACTGATGCTTTTGTCAATAGAGCTGCCGGATTCTTCAAATATTTTGGTGCTGTAGAATATAACGGCGTTGATACCAGAAAATTGTTGGAAAAACATGAGCCCTATTGAAATCATGAGAGGCTTGATGTGGTTTGGCTTGAACAATTCACCGACCGAGCTGGTGGAAGATTCTTTTTCACTTTCAAGATGAGTTTTTTCAACGGCAGCCAATTCTTCAGTAACGTCCACTGATTTTCCACGCAACCATTCCAGGGCTTTGCGTGCTCGCTTTGTTTTACCTTTCGACACGTACCATCTTGGTGTCTCGGGGATCAGTAATCCCAATAAAAAGTATATTATTGGTATACAGGCACCGAAGAATGCAAGTATGGACCAATTTAAGTACATTCCAGTTGTGAAGCAGATCAATATTCCGATATTACCGCATGCTGTTGGCAGTAATCCCAAGACACCACGTACTTCTGGCTGCAGGGTTTCTCCAAGGTAAACCGGCAAAACAAGTGATATTATGCCTACGCTGAAACCACTCAACGCACGACCCATTAGCACTAACCAGACATTCGTTGCTGTTGCTATGAATAACCAGGCTGTAATCAGACAAAAAGGTAATGGTCAAAATAAATGCCGTGAATTGCATGAGATTTTATGATTGATGTACTTGAGAACAGGTTTACGTAATATATTTCAGTAGTTTAATAATAATTACATCCGTAGTGAGAATAATAGAGTGACATTTTTTTTTTTATTATTATTATGAGTTATTTAACGCCGTGATTTATGACAAAAATGTTAAATAAATAAAGTTTAAATAATTACCTGCCATAAATGGGATTGCTGTCGATAAAATAGTGTTTCTTCTGCCGATGTATTCAATCAATGGACCACCCATTATTCCACCGATTAAAGCGCTTAAAGGCATTATTGAACCAATCCATGATTCCTAAAACATAAATATTAGTTTTTATTGTTTTATTGTTTTATAGAACTAATTGCAAATATTGTAAAACTAAATCTAAATTTTATCTATGGAAAGTTTTTTTATTTGTCTTAATAAAAATATGATGAGAAATAAAACTTAATTCTCTAATCACAAAAAAAAAAAAAAAAAAATTTTTTTTTGATGAATTACACAAAGTTTCAACATATTTGTTTTCAAAGAAATAATTTTGACTATCTGTTTTTATCACACTAATGTAAATCCGTTATCAATCAAGAATATTTTAGGAAGTTATGAAATTTCCTAATCTTATTTGACTTTTAATTTATTTGAATTTTATTATATATACGTAATTTAAAAAAATAACTATGTGATATAAAAAATATTTTTTTAAGTTAAATTAGATAAATTAAAAAGAGAAAAAATTGTTTTAATATTTTTATTTTTATTCACATTTATTTAATTAAAAATTCTTTATAAATGGTAAAATTTTTGTGTAAATTACGCGACGTTGTATAATAAAAATAAAAAATAATAATGTTATAAAAAATTTTTCACAATTGAGTAGAAAACAAAAATTAAAATGTCCAAGACCTGATTTTTTAGATTTTTACATGTCAATAAATAATTCATTGCACGGCTCAAATTTGAGGAAGTAAGTGAGGAAGTAAAATAAATACTTCGCATCATGAATTTAAGATGAGTATGAGTAAGGTGTCTGATCAGAAGATTTTAAAAATTTTAAACAACCTTGATACATAAACAGTCTTGATGATTAGTCGGAAGGACATTGACATGTTTCAATGATAAAATAAAAAAAAAATCTTCTAATAGATTGTTGATTAATTACTTAGTAGCCGACACAACATGCATTGTGTTTTATTGCACTAAACAGTATCTCGATATTGACATATTTATAATAATACGTGACGTATGAGCTTATATACAACTCTATTGAATATTTAAGTGGAATCTTCACCCGGTGTGTGTCTGCGCTACAACCAATCACGCTAAGCTATTGTCACTAATAGAAAATAATGCGAGAGAATAAAGACGCGCCCCTGACCACGGGGATCAATTGACAACTTTTAAGGAGGTTATAAATCAAACTCTTCAATTAACCCCCACCTTGATATATTAACATCAATATCTATCATTTTTCAATAAAATTATAATAAATAAATAAATCAATGCTTTTATGATAAAAAAAACTTACCATATTACTATCAAGTTCGAATGATTTCAATTGTTTCATAGACGGCAATGCCGGCGATGTGTAAGAACTCGAAAATCCGATCAGCAATGAAGCAATTGATACCGCAAATGCTGCAAAGACCTGTAATAAAAAAATTCAATTATTGTTTTTTATTTAATTTTCAATTTATTCTTCTATTTTTTAGTATTGAAAAAATATTCTTCAATATTATTACTCGTAAAAATTAAGTACCTGAGTAATTGTACATTTTGCAACAGGTACATTGCCAGGAACTTCAATGTTAACATGGGTATCAGCACGTAATAAAATTTTCATTTTTAAAAATGATTTTTTATATTTTTACAAACAAACTTTTAAAAATTAACCACCTGGCTTTAAAATTAAAACACTCACAGTAATTAATTTGGACTATTAAATTAAAGACTAAAGTTATCAGTAAATAAGTGACGAGCCCACTATTATCACGAGTGGAAGTTTTTCGGTGTCAGAGCGTCAATATGACAATACAAGACAATCAACAGTTGTCGCGTTCCCTTATATATGATACCACCAACTCAAAAGTTATTAAGTCTTCAGGGGGGCAGCCCTGCCACTCGTCGCGTCAAATGGCCCCCTTCTATCTCTCATTCATTATTGTTATTCTTCCTCTTATGTATCATACGTATGTTTTTAATATCTTAGTATCTATTATTCTTACTCTGTCTCACAAACTTTTAGTCTCTATTTAATTCCACGGATTCTTAATGGGATGCCCAATGTCATATATTTTGTACACTGATCACGTATATTCATGGAAATGCCAATATAAATATAACAATACCACATCTGCCAGAATTTTACTACCTCACTACAACAATTAGTTCATTTAATTACCTTTTTAATTTTTTAATTACAGTCTTCATTCGAGTTCGATCATCATACTGATTTTTTTAAAATTCAATTGTGTGCTTTTAATAATCCAGCGCATGCTCATTCATCAAACCCATCAGATCTAAGTAGTTTTCCGTTTTTAATTCCATTGCAATAATTAATTGATTAACTTCCAACTTTTCATTGAAAAAAATTTTATTTTTATTTTTATTATTGATTTTTTGGAAGATCTTATCTTTAAAATTGCTACAAATTTGGAAATTAGTTATAGAGTAAATTAAAAATATTTATAAAAAAGTATTTAACAATTTATCCTTTTAACTCAGCTTTGGATTTTTTAAAATATTAAACTATTCTAAGGCAAAATAATAAAAAATTCTCAGAGTACGAATAGAACATAGAAAATTTTTCAGGGCTAGTTTGTAAACTCAACCATTTTTATGATTTTTGACTTTATTCAATTTAACCTCATCTAGAATTCGGCTGCCCAATTTTAAAAGACAGTAACTGCAAAATTTTTATACCTGATTTTTTTCTAGTATTGTTGCATTTTTTATAACTTTTAGACCGTAATTTCAAGTATTTTTTCTTAAAAATATTCATATTCAAGTATTCTCTATTCAAAAATTAAATTTTTCATCAATTTGGCGGCCAAAATTTTTTTTTAATAAGAAAAATTGAAAAAAATATTTAAATGTGTTAGTTACTGTGTGTTTGAAATTGGGCAGCCGAATTATAATTACATTATAAAAATAATAATTTTGAGTTAATTTTCCCGCAAAATTTGAAAATGAATATTAGTGATAATATATCGGAAATGAGTTTAATAAACGCAATGAGAATAAGTTTATGTCAAAAGAAGTTCAAGGAAGTTAATCCAGAAGGTTTTAGAAAATCGAGGCCAGTAAAATAGCCAAGTAAGACAAATTAAATAAAAAATGTATCTCGAGGGATTTAAAAAAATGAGAACACAATATTCAAGACATTGGAATAGTTAGTACCTCATCTCGCAGAGTTACATATGTTCTGAGTTTGAAATAATAATGATAATAGTTGCAATTAAATATTGGCCTTGATATTAACTGCACAAAGTTGCTTTTGATACCAGATAATTATCTTTTTTTAGAAAAATAATAGATACCATTTATTAAAAGTTTTACTTCCTTGCATTCAGTTCTCTATTTTTAGTAGGGCAAGTGTTTTTTTTTTTTATAATTGGTATTTTTTAATAAATTTTATAATTCAAATCATTATTTTTTAGTGGATCATTTTTCATATTAATTATATTAATATTAGATCATATCATAAAATTATTATCAGATGATACTATTTTTAGATAATCTATTTTTGAATTAATTTTAAATTTACACAATTATTTGAAATTATTATAAAAAAATATTTAATTTGCTTTGTTTTAATTAAAATAAAAGAAATTAATTGTTCAAAACAATTCAATTGACCTGAAATAATTTACAAAATTGTATTGCAAATATCTTTAATTTTAACGGGAAAGGATTTAATATTAAAAGATTAAAAGTTATTACGGAATACTTGTGTTATGAGTTATAATTTCGTAAATATTAACATTAAATCAAACAAAGAATTATCTGACGACCGTACGGATTTGGAGTTTTATAAAAAAAATAAATAAAATAGATAAGAAAATTCATAATTAACACGATTAAATAAAAAATATATATATATGATTATTGTTAAAGGAATAAAGAAGTCTTAAAGTATAAATAATTAAATTATTTGATTATAAACAAAAACAACTTATTTACTTTATTGTGAAATCACAATAATAAACTCGATTGTTCCACCCTCTTAATTAAAATAATATTATCCAGTTCGTATGTCAATAGTCTTAGACTTTGATAATTAAAAATGAGTAACAACACAATAAATACTAAGTAGTTCAAAGATCATTCGATATTAATTTATTATAAATAAAAATCTTTCACGTACTGATACCACGATCATATTGGCTGATCATATATACTTTAGACTACTTACTGTTCCGTAAAACTCGGTAAAAAGTAAAAATAAAAAAAACTTATTTCTTACCTGAGAGCTGTACCGGAACATATCCTCAGATTCTTTTTTTTTGGGAGTGCGGGACAATGAATCCGTTCTTTTAAGACCAATGTCATCTCCATCTTTGTGGTTGCTCATCAGAACATCTTGCTCTTCTATTGCGACGCTGTTCTCCATTATTAAGGGCTCCAAAAATTTGTAGTCCACCAGAATAATGTCCTTGTTCTCAGGATTATATACTTTCTGCTGTAACTCGCTTTCGCGTTTCAAGTTTTCGGTGTAATAATGCGATTCTGATTGTGCAAGATCGTAATTCTTGTTCTTTGTTATTGTGATTGATGGTTTTTTCTTCTGGGTTAAAAGGGCCTGCTGGCTGTTGAAGGGACTTGCGTTTGTTAATAATGTTGTGTTCGACGAACAATCCTCGTTCATAGATGACTCCGATGATTGTACCAGGGACGGAACCCACGGATAGTATTTTGTATGCGCTGATTTCCCCTGTTGAATTAAAATATTTTTAATTAGTTATGATTTTTAAGAAAATTATCTGAATTAAAAATTTTATGAAATTAATTCATTCTTTTAATGGATTGATTTTCATTTTATTTATGATAAAATTATTGTGAACCACATTGGACATAAAACTACTGAAGAAATTCAATTTCAATTGATAGTAGTATTATTTATTAAAATTTTGATAAAAATCAAAATTTAAATACATTTTTTTCTTTTTCATGATAAAATTTTTTTGGATAAATAACAAAATTGAGTTTGCAACACTTGAACCAATGATTATTATGAAAAATGCGATGATTTATAAATAAATAAAAAATATAACACTAGAACTGTTGAAAAAAGTCGTTTTAAAAAAATAAAATTCCACAATAGTAAATGAGAAACTTACGAAAATTGAAGAAAAATATTGAGATTGACCAGCACAAAAGAAATAAAATTTATTATACTTAAAGAAGATGAAATCAAAGAGAAATGACACAGTTGGGCTATATATATACCTACTATCAATATCAGTATAATTATAAAAAAAGTCCAATGAGGAATAATAGATTACAATAACTGACCAATAAGAATATATAAAAATTAAGAAATAAGTTATTGGCTTTGTGATTGATCGAATTAAATCCCCCAGACATAATCATTTGATAACCCCAGAGGCGATCCTAATGAACTAAACTTTGAGTATATATCTTTTGGTAGTTATAACAGATCAAAGCCAGGGACATCTTTTATTTGAATTAATAATTATCAAATGCAATGACATTTTTAAAGAGAAAATGATAAATAAGTAAACAATTATTTTACCGAATTGAACTCGTCGTAGAAGTTTTCTTGATTTTTTGAAATTACTTTGGCCATGATGTTACAATCGTAACTGACATTGCACTAATAACTATTGTTTTATATAAAACAGGCTTCAATAGTCATTTCTCTTATCATTGATATCCGCGAACTAAAAATTCCTTGTTGTAAGATGCATCTAAATTATCTATCACGTGAGATAATGCGAGCAGTCTAGTCTCTAGAGGTGAAATTTAATTATACATACATGTTTGAGTCACGACTTCGATAAAGTTCATTTCGCATAATAGTTTACTAAATTCTATTTTTCCTACTATTAATTAAATAAGTGACCCGGATGTGATACATGCTGAATATTTAAGTTTATTGTTGATCGAGAGTTTTCTTTTTATTTTTTATGCCAAGAAAAAGTTTATTAAAAGATGTCCGATTTAAAAAAAAAAACCGATATCGTATCATTGAAATTGTGACCTAATTTATAATCGGTTATAGTTTGTGCGATTGACAGAGACCCTTTGATCTTTTCGCAGCGATGGGGAACGTCAGCAACACCCGATGGGATTTTGTATTAAATGTCGTTATTTTTTCATCTTATACACGCAATATCGTCGTGATAGTGATTCATGTATTTCATATCGTTCTTCAATTTCTTATTAATTAATTCTTTAATCTTATATTGTTTACTACAACGTGATACGAAATAGTTATGATTAACCTTGAATTATGTTTAATTCGCCTCAAAAATTTTTTATATTTATTTATTTATCACTATCTGTCGAATTAAAATTTATTGTAATTTATTATCTATTCACAGTAAAAAATTTTGTCTCATTGCGTCAAAAAACTTAATGTTAAAAATTTTTATGTTAAATATTTAACATAAAAATTTTTAACACAAAATTTTTTACTGTGTTCTAGAGATGCTCAAATATATTAGAAATTGATAAGTTTTATAATGCATAAATTATAAAATATTTTACCAAGCATTAATTATTATTTTTGTAAATTATGAATTCTGGTTTTTTAATTTTTATTTTATTACTTCGGGGAAAAAAAATTATGATGCATTATTTCATTGAGGAGTTATTATTATTATTCAATTATTCAAAAATTGACATTTTCAGCTTAATTGAAAGTCGGCCAAAAATTACTTAGAAAAAAAAAAAAGTTCCATTTAGAGATAAATATTTAAAACTTCATTTTTATACATATTACGTGTTTTAATATCTTTACCTTTCAAATCGAATAATTTTTCTGGTTTATAAAAATGACTGATTTACCAAAAACAACAAAAAACTTAATAAACTTAACACAAAAGATTCAATTATTTATACATTATAACAGTCTGGGATTATTTGGATAAAAATTATTATACACCTGGTAATATACTTGCATAAAAAAAAGTACGCATAAATGGTAATTATTCATTTCCTCAGCAATTTTTGATAATTAATGTCTTTATATTTTTTTTAATTAATGCATCGAATTAAATAAATACATAACAAAGTTTAATTTTTTTCCAAAATTTTAACTCCTTATATTGAAAAATTTAGATTTTTGAAAATTTTTTTTTTTAAATTTAATTTTCAATATATTGAAATAAAAAAATAAAATAAATAATAAAACTGCCCAGTCGAAATATTATTTTCTTTTAAATACTCTAGCCGACTACGGGGTTTAAATTTTACAATTCAATTTTTCTCAATCCAAAAGTAATGAACAAAATTTACATAAATAATATTTAAAATTTTTACGGCAGAATCAGAGAAGATATCAAATATCTACAAGTGTATTAAAAAACAAAAACCATTTCCCGAGTTTCATAAATTATCAATGCTTACATTTCATTCAATCTCTGACTTTAAATCGATCTGATAAATGTAAAAACAATACCTGCTTCACCTAAGATTAAGTACTACATTGTAATCATAATTAATCATTGTTAATTATTATTACGCATCTAGTATTAAACCACGGTAAAAAAGGTATAAATAGGAAACATGATTACATATATATATATATATATATTGTCTAGGTCAGTGTCGCAAAAGTCAATAGTCAGAATTTTTGATCCTGTCCTTTTACTTTTATTTGTACTGAATCAAGTTACATAAGATAAACATAAATATAACATGTAACCAAAAATAAAAGTATGACGAGCAGTTGGTTGTAGAGCGAGATGAACGTGAGCTAATGTCGTAGAAAGTACCAAAAGAAAACAATAAATCTACATATATAAAGAAGGTGCTGGCACGGTTTATTCATGGCGTTAACGTCTCAATCTAAAATAAATACTATTCAAAATCTTATGTATGACGCTTTGTGAATATTTTCCGCTAAAAAAGATTGATTCATACGACAAAGTTACACTGATAGAAGGAATTGTTTATATTTAATAAGCTTTATTAACTGTTAATAAATGATTTTTTAACATCATAAAATTTAATAAATATTTATTAACAGTTAATAAGTTATTTATTATGACACTGAAGTTAGGAGACGTCTAAAAATTTTTGATTCTTTTTATTAATTAAATTACAACTAAAAAGATATTTCTAAAAAATTGCACACTTATAGTTTTTCAAGTTTTTTACATGTGCAATTTTTTTTTTTAATTGTTTAATTGTAATTTTTTCAATAAAAAATTTTGAAATGTCGGCAAACTTCATTTTCATAATTTATTAAGTACAATTTATTAACTGTTAGAAAATATTTATTTAAAATAAAAAGCAAAAATAGTAATTTTTTTTTAGACTTTTTATAACCCTAGCTGAAATACATAATAATTAAATTCACTAAATAAATTAACGTTTTTAATATTTAAAAATATAAAAGATAATTATGAGCTGTGATAGAATTTGGTATTTTCCAAATAAATATTTATTGAATATTAAAAAATATTTATTAAAATTTAATAATTGTCTTCAAATAAATTAAATTATTAATAGTTAATAAATCCTTATATCAGTGTAGTCTTAATAAATTATTTAAATTTGAATTAAAAATATTTTTCAATGTCGGTAAGGTCAGTGTCTGTATACCGTTAAGATAATAGTTTTAGCACATATGTATCGGTTCAGATCTTGGGTCTACGGTCTGTTGCGCCTTTCAAAAATCTTTTGCAGTACTTTTCCACTTCTGCAACAGGCATGCAGCAAAGAGTGTGTAAGTATATACATGTTACATGTATTATCGACACACCTTTCATTCTATTTCTCACATCTCACATCAGTCAGGCAAATAAAGCAGTACAACATATCAACACAACGTATAATAAGTGAGTTGAAATTATTAGGGAAACGAATTGCCAAGACGTCCTGTTATTGATGCAAGGTCATTTCTATATAAATAATTAAGTAAAAATGACGTAAATAATTAGGGTGAAACATATCGTGTACAATGACTTCTGTGCGTTTACACATGCCGACACTGGGTGTCATCATTCAATAATAAATATTATTACTCTTATAATACATAGATGTACAGTAGTATAACAAATAATAAAATTTACCGTCTTTTCGATAAATTTGGTAATGGAATTATTTATTTTTAGTTTTTTCAATGATAACGATAATGATATATGCTATTATTGATTAGCCATTAATTGAACCAACGAATTGATTTTTTTTTTTTTTTAATAAATACCAAGGTATTTTTTTAAAAAGAGAAATCCAGTTTTTTATCGACCTTGCTACAGAACCGTGACATTGTCTTTTATTAAATAATTGAAAGAAACAATAGTGGTTAAAATACACAGTGAATATTTTTTGTCTCGCGATTCAATAAATAGATTTGAAGAATAAAAAAAAAGTGCGATAAAAATTTTTAAAATAAAAGATTTTTTATAGGTGAGTAATATCGGCCTGTGGCGTAGACCCACGGAATTGCATGGAACTTTCCAGAAGCCTGACAGGGACCAGATAGAATCGGAAGTATTGAGAAAGTCTGTGGAGAGAAAAGGATAATATTGTGCAGAGAACGACTTAACATCATCTGTATACATTTATAGTAAGATTCGCGTCAACACTGCCCTACCGACCAGACATTTCACTATAATTTGAATTTAAATCTATGAAGAATGCTCTGCAATTACGATTTCGTAATTCAATTATATTAATAATGATTTATGCATGAGTAATAATAATTATGTTGATGGTCGGTATGTAAATAGGATTTTGTCGATAAAAGTTAATTGAACTTACCGGATTTTTCGATGATACCAGACACAAAGGCCATGGCTGCATTATTTGCATCTTGGAAACCTTCTTATTATTTTCCATTGTTAGGTAAAAAAATATACACTATTTTTCAAGTAAAATAAATTATTTTTCACACGTAATTTATTTATATTGTCTTTTTAAATTTAAGTACATAAAATTGATAAATCCGCACTGCTGTTTTGCTTGGTTACCGGTTGGTTAGTACAGTAAGAATGATCTACCACGTTCGACCAAGTGTGCGTTGTAAATCTATCTTTGTCTTATTTCCGAAAGTCTTTCTCCTTTTGCTCTTTCTACGTACGTTGTATTTACTTATACCAAGCACTTGTATCTATATATTTATGATTTTACTGTGTATGACAGTGTATCAATACAATTGTAGACTATAAAACTTAACAGTAGCTAGTGACAAACGATAATATTATGATGGTTTTGTAATCACGCATGTGCTTCTGTTTTGACATTTAAAAAAATATTTTTCAAAATTTGATCTTCCTGGTAAACTAAAAATTAACACAATTATTACTGTTCTGCAATTAGGCAGAAATCTTTATGAATTAGTTAAATATATTGTTTATAAAACGTAACAATTAGTTAAGGCGTTTAACAAATTAGAACACCTGATTTATGCAGTGTCAACTCTTCAAGGGTTTTTGGTAACTGTTGAACATTTTGCAGAGGGATTTGAGTTTTATATACTTCTCCTGCGAAGAACTCGGGACAGGCGCCAGAAACCGTCGGCAAAGTTCGGACAATCTCGACCAACCGTTAAAAGGTGCTATGTATTTAGTATTAGAGTGGGAGAACAGAAAAATACACAATATTATGCACTTACATATTGTATAAATTGAAAATTATTTATTGGTGGGGTATTGGAGCGGTTTTATTATTATTGATAGCAAATACATTGTTTGCTGCCATTCCCGCGAAATGTCAATTAATTTATTAGGTGTCATTGTCAATTTTATTTTTAATATTATTGTTGCCAAATTTATTGCATCATTCTTAAATTTATTGTCGGTTTTTTCCAAATATATAATCAAAACATCCTAAAAATTCTTTAATTTTTTGCTTATAATTTGTTATTTTATATTGATTTAATTACAAGCTTAAATATCATTTTTAAAAGGAAGCACGAGCACCAAGGCAACTTTTGATAAAAGGCTTGATTTTTTTTTAATATGAAGTTTAAATATGTCTAAACAAATTCCGAAAATTTGAAGGAGATTGCCCGATCATTTAAATAAATAATTAACTTTAAAGTTGAGCAATTTAACATTGGTCTTATGGGGGTAATAACCTTCAAACATTGATACATTTCTGTATTTTTCTCGTAAAACTGTCGGTGAATATTTTTAAAAAACTTATGGATGAAAGTAAATATATTAGTGATAAATTTAATTCAAAAACATTTACACTTGCCCGACTAATTAAAGTGTATTAATTAAAAGAAAAATAAATGCCGCCACTAGCCAATGTTAAATGTATATCTATATAATGAAAAAAATCATATGGTTACTGCGTTCCCCTTACCGCGCTAGAGTCGATACCTATCCTGACCCCGCCTGACGCTCGTACTTCCTTAATTTCATTGCATCATTTTCAGTTTTTTGTAATTTTTTTTTTTCTTTAAATTTTCAGGAAACATCATTTTAGGCATAATTTTCTATTTTTACAACGTACTAGTCCGCAAAAATTTTCAAAAACTCACTAAACCCGAAAGTGACTCCATATGATGCAATTTAGTGATCCGAAAACGCGTGAAAATCAATAACATGCTTTACTGTACAAATCATATAAAAATGATGAGTATAAATTTTTATAAGATCCACAAAAATTAGTCAATATTTTAAATAAATTTTATACGACAGCTAAAAGTATAAATATGCACATTATTTTTGTTTAGAATAATAATTCTTTTATTAAAAAATTATTTTTGAATTACTAAAAAACATGTTTAGATTTTTTTATTAAACAAGTAAATTTATCTGAATAATTTTGTGGATTTAAAAAGGTTACGAAAAACTAAGCTTTGCCATCTACTGGCCCAGATATATGATAAACAAACCTTGTAGATTTACGACAAGTAAGCTCAACAAATGGTTCGCGAACTTATTTCTTAAACTCATCAAAGTTTAAAAAACAAACTGAGATTTGCGGCGTGCCAATTACCATAAAAAATATTTATTTTAATTTATCTCATGAGAATTTATGTACTGTAAATTATTCAAGGTTTGTTTTATAAGTTTAAATTGTAACAACGTTAATTATTTGTTGGGTAGTTATTATGTATAATGCAAATTTTTCTTATGAAGGTTTATTTGTCGATCATCTGTGCTTATAGGTAGTTTACTGGAATTATTTAATACTTTTTTAATGTACATATTTACAACTCTATGTTAATATTTACATCAGTAATATTATCAGTTCTTTTTCTTTACTAAAGTTTTGATACGATATTCTTTGTGTGACAGCTTGAAAATATTTTGATAAGTCGTTTAAATACCATAAATTATTCTGATGTTTTATTTTTACTTGCAATTTTTCATTTAAATTTTAAAGTTTCTGGCACAATATTATTAATTATACTTTTACCGCTCTGCTCTTTTTATCATAAATGTACTAAATTTTGTATTTTATTAATACCATAAATATGTATCAAAACTATTTGGATTTTTACCAATAAATAGCTCCTAAATGAAATTAAAAAAAAAAAAAGCTTATTATTTTCCTTTTATATTGTTTCTGTAATGGTAACGACCTTTACTTATTGTATGTGTGAAAAATTTATAGCTTACTTTAAGAATAATTATTAATGCTTCAATTATTAATTCAATTATTTTAAACTGATAAAGGTGATTTACATTCAATTAATATTTTTATAATTACCATTTCATTGTCATCATACATACAGAGTAAACACGCAAGTAAATAAACGGATCCTGATATTATTTTACAGCATTTCATACCTGAGGATTCTCCAAAGCTTTTTATGCAGAGAATTTTGCCAGTAATGCGATTGTTTTCAATTTGAATGAAGAATCTTCAAAATTTATCGCTATAGTTGTAAGAAAAATGTACTGTACTATAAAAAAAAGTTTGGAAAATCCAAAAGTCCACGACTCATAATGCGCATTTAATTATAAAATATTAAAAAAAAAAAAAAAAAAAAAAAAACAAACAAACAAGTCGTTGAAAATTAGTTGCCGAAAAAACAGCTGTACTAGGAAGGTACTGCACAAGAGCCTCTGGTGAAATAAATGTACATAATATCTATAGATATAGATATATCACCATCCATGTTATTTTACATGGATATATATATATAGGTATACAGTCTTGTAGTTTTCGTTTTTTTATTAATTGTAATTAAACGACACTGAAATAATTATCCATTCGCATTCGGTGACCTACAATTGTCGATTAGAATTAAAAAAAAAAAAAATTTACTCAAATAATTGATTTTTTCACAAGTTACAGTGTTTCCGGAGTTTCATACATGACGGACAGGAAAATTTTTTTTGACCTATTTTGATATTTTTTTCCGTTTCTATTGCACTAAATTAATTTTTAGCAAGTATGGTATTAATCTCCATTAAATTATCTCGACAATAGTATGCAAAATATCTTGATTCCGTGAACTAACAAGGCTATATAATACTAAAAATAGTTGCCAAAATGGGGCGAAAAAAATTTTTCGATCGTAAAGCACTCTCTGATGCTTCGCATCATGAGTCGTGCAAAAATTAATTTGATTCAAGTGGAAGAATTCTTGTATTGATTTAAGAAATAATTCTTGATTCAGATAAATTTTACTCTGAATTTTTGTACTTTCTTCAAATTTTTTCAAAATTATGTTGTTGAAAAGTGAATTTTGTTTTACAGTTAAGTTTTTAAAAATGCGTACTGTTAAATTCTATAAATTTATTTAGTTATCCAACTATATATTTATTTAATTTGAAATCTTATCACAAACAAATTTAAATATTTATTAATAGAAGTTGAAAACAGAAAATAGTTTTATGCATATCATTATGATTTATGTGTTGTAAAAAAGATATTTTAAATGAAAATATCGATGTATTATCATGTTTCTCATTAGTCATTTTAGTTACGACCATTCTAGAGTTTATTAATGTCACGTACGTGAGTATTTAACTAATTCTTTTAAATATCTCAGTGGAATGTATATTGTAGTAAATTCGTTTAAGTGACAATTACAGTTGTCCTTTAAATTTATTATACAGCTCTATTCTCAGAATTAATTTTACACCAATGCACATACGACTTATATTTATTTTTATTATTAAGGTAGTAATCATGCAAAAAAATTATTGAAATTTTAATTTTAATGTTCAAGTTTCAACCCGGACAGCGTTGAATAAATCTCGAATGTTCCGGTTGTAAGACAATTAAGTAATATACATTACACATTGCGTTATATCATACTGTATACACATATTACTCAATAATTGGTAAGGGTTAATGTGGTGGTCAAAAAGGACAAAAAAATGTATAAAAATCCTTTACTTTCCTCTTTTAATAATTTATTAACTCAAAATGAGGATTCATTGACAAAAATAAATTATTCATGTGAAAATATTCAAAAGAATTAAAATAATTTATACATTTTTAATTGATGACAAACAAGTTTTAGACACAGGAATATTCCTAAACTCATTTAATTTGTCCCATCGTCCGGGTCATTCGATAATTGTTTGATACAATACTCGACTACCAATCGAAAAATTTCCATTGGACACTTTATTTATTAAACTTTATTTGTGTTTATTTTCACATTAAATCTAACCAATTTAATTTGTTTTTTTTTTATAGTCAAAAAATAAAATGAGATACATTTGAAAGTAAATTTTTTGCATCCATTATTTATTTACCAAATTTTTAGACCCTGAAGCCTTAGCTCCCTAAGGGCCTTACATAAAAATGAATACATAGTAATAATAAAAGTATTTAAACAGTAATGAATATGAAAATAATAAGACAGTAAAAATAAGAAAAGTAACTATATCTTATCTTAAAACATATATTCAAGATTTGGA